TAGAATAGTAATAGTACGGGAGTTAAAAGGAGTATTTAATAAAATACCCTTATTTATAATTTCTATTGTTAATTTTAATACCCTTCTAATTAGGTTCTTATAGAAGGCGAACGTTTATAGCCTTTTAGCGTATATAACGGACGCTTTCGTAATAGCCTTCCGGAGAATAAAGTACCCCTTACAATTATATATAAAGTAACCCTTCTTCCTATATAATTTATAATAAATAAATAACCTATTTTTATTAGAAGGATAGTTTATTTCGCTAAAATAATCTTTTTTATATTTAATTTCACTATAATAGGCGTGAATATCTTCCTAGTAATAGAATTTCGCTATATATTCAATTCCTTAATATTTATAGTATTATTAAATATTACTCGAAATTTAAAACGGTTCATATAAATATATACTGCTATTTTAAAAGAAGAAGTTATTTTAGAGGAAGTACGCCGCTAATAAAATAACGACTTCTATTAGGAGTAGGTTTCTATTCTCTCTATCTTTTCTCTTCTATAACCGAATTTTAATAATAGTTACCTCCTTATTTTTTTCCTTTACTATACTTAATAAGGTTTCTAATATAGTATAATTATTAATACTATTCTAAAGTATACCCCGGATCAGAACGTTTATAGTACTTATAATAATAAAAGTATCCGAATTAAAGATTTCTTTAATTTATATTTAATTTTACTAGTATTAATCACGTATAGATTTATTAAATATAATTATATAATCTCCTATTATTAGTGTTTTAATAATTATATAAATTATTAAGCTAGGTTTCTTTTTATTTAAATTCGCTACTAAGGCTGTTTTTATATTTTTATTTGAATAATTTATAAATTTGGCAGCAATTATCGCTCTTTTAATTATAAATTACTATTCGAAGTTAAAAGGAATAAACTTTTTAATAATAGTAATAGGTAATTATTAGAGGGTAATATTAATTTTACTTAGGATAATTTTTACTATAATATTAATTTATTACTTCAGCGCCTTCTAAATACTTTTTTTAATTTCTTTTAAAATATCCTTCTTTAAATTATCAAAATCCTTCTTAGTAATAAATTAGTTGGTTTTAGCCTTATTAGCCTCGGGTCGTACGGACCTACTTTTTTTAATATATACCTTCGTAAATTCAAAAAGCAATTCTTAAACCTAATATTAGTCTTTAGTCGAAATAATATTATAGTCCGTAAATTTATTCGCCCTAGCAATAAACTTCTTCAATATTTTATTATTTTCTTCCGTTTTATCTAAAGTCTTCGTAGTAAGTACAGTTTCGGGGTCGTTACATACTAAAATTTCTACGAGCGGGTTATAAACGCTATTTTCAAGTTTATAAGCATTATTATCGATAGCTATCGGCAACGACGATATAACGCCGTCGCTGCGTTCGTCGTAGGACATTGTAAGGGACGTAAACGACCCTCCTAAGTCGATTGCCGTTGTTAGTTTTCGTTTTGGAGCACTCCTCGACTAGAAATCGGCGTTTCCGGTTTCGGCGTCGTTTTTAGTTTAAATGAATTAATACTTGTACTCGGTAGTCCAAGTGCTAGAGATTGATTTGTATTCCAAAGTTTTCCAAGTCCAGTTTCAGTTCGATACGTTTGATGTCCCCAAACAGCGATACGCCAAATCAAGCTATGTTTCCTTTAACCCTCACCGCCAGCTGATTTCGACTTGAGGCGGCTATGCTGTGCTCGTTGGGGCTCTTTGATGCCAAGTAGTGTTGGTTACCATGGCGGCGTAAAAGGTCAGAACCAGATCTAAAGACTTTGGTCTCCTCTAGGCCGTGTATGAGATCCTCCAGTTACGTTCTCGGTTTGGTACCTTTTTTTACTTTATTTATCCATCGGCGGTCGCGCAAGGACCTTAACCCCTTGGCTTCTGTCCCAATCAAACTTGGGTCCTCATATCTTCTCAATACGCCTTTTATTGACAAGGTGGACAGTCTGTAGAGAGTTGTTAATCTCTGGGAGTGACTTGCATTACCCTTTGCCTCCAAACTCCGGGTCACAGCCCACCCGGCAGTAGGGTACAAGCGTCCAATAACGGCCACAGTCCGCTTAAATAGCATGCATTGTGTAACGGCGTGCAAGTGCACATGTGGGAGGCGTAGATCTGAGAAAATGCGGCCATTCAGATCTGTATCTCTGACTGGGACGAAACAATAAAGAAAAGAGAGGTTCATGTGTAAGTGTGGCATCTGCATGTCCAAGCCCTGTCGTTGGCGAGATACCGAGACATGTCAGCAATTGCTTTACCGCAAAAGGGGCAAAGGGACAAGAAACAGTGAATTTCGAAAAATCACCAGCCAGCAGGTAGGTAATGTCTGGGCACTTCCCGTCGGTGAGATTCCCTCAAGGAACTTCCGGGTGGTGCCAGGTCAAGGCAATAAGGAGCAGGTGGGTATCTGGAAGTTCAGAATGCTGCTGCCTGCTTCGTTTGTCCCAATTGGTGATGGAGTTGCTGACGGTATGTCTTAGTTCCGGGGTACGGGAAGAGCCAGCCTTTTGTTAGTTTTTCGACAATTTCTAAACAGCCCTCGAGATTTGTTTTGATCGGCACATCGACATCCCGAGTCAAAGGTTGATCGAGCCTGTTTGACGGTGACGGGAACCGTGCAAACTAAAGAAGGATGTCTCGGCGAAACTTCACCCCAAGTCTTGGCATATATCAAACGAGTAAACGACAAACTTATACACCGTTACAACACTGAATTACTGGCATCCTCTCCGCACTTACTACCTACAGGGGTCTTAATTAGTACCTCCATCAATGAAAGCAAACTTGCACGTGCAGTCGCGGGTTTGCGCGTCATAACCTTTACAATTACCATACGCGGCAAACACGTGCTCCACATCATTGTGACACCCACTTTACCTTACTCACCTCTTCCCTTCTTTTCTGTTCTGCTCTCGCATGAATCGCAGCTCCATCCGACTCTTCAGCCTTCTAATTACTTCTGGAATCTCGCGATCATACCGGCCAGTCTCAACAATGTGTCCCAGTCGCCCAACGCGCAGCGCAAAGTCGCGGGCGGCAACCAAAATATCTTCCGCCACCATTGAGGAATCCAGGATCGAGGAGACTGACGCTGACGTCAAGAAGGGTACCCGAGCCAAGGGTAGTGTTAAGAAGACGGAGGTTGTCGAGGAGAAGGTTGTTGTCAAAAAAGTCGCTGCGGGGAAGCGCAAAGGAAAAGCCCAGGAGGAAGAAAACGATGACGATGCTGAAGACATTGAGAACAAGGACTCTGTCCAGGAAGAAGCGAAAAAGCCGGCTCCCAAGAAGCGTAAGACCAAGGCTTCTGAAGAGGATGCCACTCCCTTGGCAACCAGGACACCAGTTGAGTCGATGAAGAGGAAGCTTTACATTGGAGCCCACGTTAGCAGTGCTGGAGGTATGTCATCTCACCACCCACCCATCGTTTTGTTTTGTTTACTTCCCCCCCTTTCTCTCCCAACCCTCCTTAATCACCCCACTTTACTGACCACCACTCCTACTCCCTCAACTACAGGCGTCCAAAACTCCATCACCAACGCCCTGCACATCGGCGCCAACGCCTTCGCCGTCTTCCTCAAATCCCAACGTAAATGGGTATCACCGCCCCTCGACCGCTCCGCCGCCGCCGATTTCTCCCGCCTTGCCTCTCTCCATGGCTACTCCCCCTCCTTACACGTCCTCCCCCACGGCTCCTACCTCGTCAACCTCGCCCAGGTCGACAAAGCCAAAGCTGACCAAGCCTACGGCAACTTTGTCGACGACCTGCAACGCTGCGCCACATTGGGAATCAAGCTGTACAACTTCCACCCCGGTTCGACGGGCGGGGAGCCCATCGAAGAAGCGTGCGCACGTATTGCAAGCCAGTTGAATCGGGCGCATAAGGAGAAAGGGACGGGGGAGGTGGTGACAGTTATTGAGAATATGTGCGGTTCCGGCAACGTGATCGGCTCCCGCTTTGAGGATCTGAAGATGATAATTGATGGAGTGGAGGATAAGAGCCGCGTGGGCGTGTGTATTGATACGTGCCATGCCTTTGCGGCGGGACACGACTTACGCACGCCAGAGGCTTTCGAAAAAACCATGAAGCGATTTGACGAGATTGTCGGTTTGAAATATCTCAAGGCGTTTCATTTGAACGATAGCAAAGCCCCGTTTGGCTCGTGTAGAGACCTACACGCCAATATCGGTACGGGATTCCTGGGGCTGAGAGCGTTCCATAACCTGATGAACTACGAGGCGGTGCAGGGGTTGCCGATGGTGCTGGAGACGCCGATAGAGGAGAAGGGGGCGGATGGGAAGATGGTAGAGAATAAGCAGATTTGGGCGGATGAGATCAAATTGTTGGAGAGCTTGGTGGGGATGGATGCGGAGAGCGAGGAGTTTAAAAAGATGGAGGAGGAGTTGCAAAGAAGGGGGGCGAGCGAGAGGGCCAAGATCCAAGAGCAGGTGGATAAGAAAGCTGAGAAGGATGCGAAGAAGGGGGCTGGGAAGGGAAAGAAGGGGGCAGCGGCTGCGGGAGGGTCGATATCGAGTTTCTTCAAGAAAAAGGTAAAAGAGGAGAGTGAGGGGGAGGATCACGAGTAAAACTCGATGGATGACCAAAGGTATTCAAGCATAGACGGAGTGTCCGGATTATTTTGTCATGATCTATCGTATATCGACAATGAACAGACACTATTTAGCTACGGAGTTGGGGGTATGGTGCTTTGAAGCTTGTATATATAGCATTGCATAGACAGATGCCACCATAAAAGGGGGAATGGAAAAGGAATTGTACGTCCATCCTAGTAACGAAACAAAAATCCCGCCATTATGTTCAGCAATGTCCTTTGCTCCTAATAGAACCTTGATGCCTTCCTTGCCTGTCAACTCCTCGTATGTCCTAACCAGTCAACCCGGCACAATGTATAGCAAAATAAAAAAATCCACCGTCTGCGAAAATCAAACCCACGATCACTTACCCTCCCTCCCAGCAACGCAACTCTTCACCTCCTCCCCCTAGACCAAGCCTCAACCTTTCCCATCCACCCCCTCAAACCCACGCCCCTCTCACAATTCGCCTCCAACCAGCTCTCCATCCTCTCCCGAACCGTCCTCAGCCCCTTTAGGACAGGCATATTCCCCCCTTCCTCCTCATCCACATAGCTCCCGGGGTTCAGCAACAAATCAAAACAATGGCCCCAAATATCCGTTTGCCAATAGCGCTTCAGGTTCTCCGTGATCTTATACCTCTTCTCATCATTCCCACCTAGGCCACCGAACGACCTGGAGTGAAAAGTCCCGCAAGGCACCGTATCAATGTATTTCCCAAACAACAACGCGTGCACAACCCCGGCAAGACCATGGTAATCAATCTGCCACGTCCACGGCCGCCCCTCCCTCATCTCCGCACAGTCCTGCGCGGTAGGCTTCCAGTCCGCCACGAACTGGACTTCTTCTCTGAACTGCCTAAAGTCAATCCCCCTCCCGAAATCAATGAGCGTCAATCCGCGCGCAGCCCACCCGCCCGATCCGTCGGCGTGGTACTGATTAGTCGGCAAGATATCGGTCGTCGTAGGGAGGCGAAGGAGACAATTGTCGACTTTGACGTCGCCGTGCATGATGCCCACCGAGTGCAAGGCCTCGATGGCCCGGAAGAGTTCGACGGTGAAGAACATGGCTAGCTGCTCGTCCATTACGCCGGAAGACTCTGAGCGGAAGAGGTTAATCACGTCGAGCAGAGTGCCGTGCTGGAAAAAGGGGAGGAAGAGGAAGCCTTCGTCTTGGTAGAGGTGTAGCTCGAGGGCCGGGCTGAGGGAAGCGAGGGCGCGGTGGTGTAAGGAAGTGTTGGCGGCGAGGAGGCGGGTATGCGCGAGGCGCATCATGTAGAATTCCCAAGCCGTCGGGGGTTGTTCCATCTTGAGGGCTTCGCGGGGGTGACGAATTAGGTGGGCTGGAAGGTTGTTGTTCTCGTTCTTTTGTTGCCCATAACCATAACCAGTTTGAGAGGCAGTCTTGGTAGGCTTGGAATTCTCGACCAGGTAGACAGGAGCATAGGCACCGGCGCCGAGTTCCTTCTTGATGGTGTACTTGGTGCTGGGATTGCCGGGGAGCTGCAACATAATAGGATGCGGCTCGTTTAGGGAATCGCGCTTGTCGGCAGAGGTGCTCTTCCTTCCGCGCTTACTAGCCGCGGACTGGGCTTGAGCAAACTTGCGGATTTCGGCGCCCTTGCGAAACTTCTCGTGGCGGTGGTCGTGGAAGCCCTCGTACGAGGTGAGGGGAGGATAAATGTTGGCGAGGATCTTCTTGCGGATGAGCTCGTCGACGGGGTTGCACTGAAGTTCTTTGATGATAGGCCCTGGAAGCCTGGGCGCGAGAGGAGAAACTGCTCTGTGTGCCAAAGGTGATGTGGTAACTGACTTCACGGCGAGAGGGGATCTGGCCGCAGGCTGATTCTGGCCCAACTGGCTATGAAAGACTGGAATCGGCGAGAACTTCTCTTGCTGCTCCTCTTCTTCCTCGTCTTCCTCAGGGATCTCACGCAGCGGACTGCTCTCCGGCTCGAGCATATCTTCATCTTCATTTTCAGAATATTGGCCGTCCTCCTCCTCACCATCCACGGACATGTCATCCCTCATGTCGTGATGCAGGCCCGGTGCCTTAGACGGTGTCTTGGTGAGAATAGGGTGATGCATGTTTGGGTGGTGATACGTGACGTCGAGCGACGAGAACTCCGTTCTTTCCGTGATAGGCGTCATGAAAGGCAGGCGGTTATTAGCCACTTCTACCGGATCTCGATACGGCCTTCTTGTCGGGACGTAGTCTGCGGGAGGGACTGGTACGAAGATATTCCTTGTGGTAGGAGGAACTTCTTCGGGTGCGGGTGGGGGGTTTTGAGTCAAGGGACGTCCACCCTGCGTTGGGTTTTCGTCTGGAACCTCGTTGTGATTAAACTGTGAATGGGAGGTTTCAGGTTGGCCGTTTTCTTCGTCCAAAACATCCGTCATTTCATGGTCTTCGTCCCCATCACCTTGGTAATCAGGAATGTGTTTTCGCGCTGTGAAGTCGGACCACTCGCTCTTGACGTCGTCATCCTCATCTGCAACATCCGTTTCCTCGATTGCCTCTACAACTGTGGTCTCATCTCCTGCCTCACTGGTGGCAAGGTTTTTGGAGGTGTCGTCCACACCGCAAGTATAGTCATCCGAATCATAGCGATTCTCGTCGTCGCTTAAACTGGGGTTTGCTGTAGGTTTAAGCGGAGCGTTGAAGATATCGTAGATATCATCTGTTGCTGCTTTCGTGTGCAGTGTCATGGTTGGTTCTGATGACGAGCCTCTCTTCTTCATCTTTGGCCCAGAAGGAGAGTCCAGCTTGGCTTTGACTATGTTGTCCGTTAGCAAGTTTTACGTCTCGTCGGCGTGGGACGTAAGTGCATACTGATCTGTGTTTCGTTCACCTCAATCACCTTTTTCTTCTTGGCGCTCCTGCCAGCCTTGTGTTCAGGGTAGATGGGCTTCCCGTTTTCGTCCAGTTTCAAAACATCATGGTAAGCCACAATTTTCGTCGACGCCATTTCCAACGTCAGGTCTTCCATATTTTCGTCCCTCTTTGGAGTCAACATCGCATCTAGTGGTCGTTTCTTGCTCTCGTCCTCCCATACCACATCCAGCCAACCTCTTCGAGCAGCCCATATCTCTTCGAAACTCAACTCGGTACCGGGCTCGTCAGGCGTAGGGTAGATCACTCTGAGGTCCACAAATACCCTCTCCCGCTTACCCGTTACCGGGTTCACCGTCACCTGGGACTGAGAATGGTGTATTGGAATATGTGATTGAGAAAGTTGTTGCTTGTTCATCATCATAGGATTCGTAGTCTTCTTGGTCTGTACAATAACATACAAAAACGAGTGCGCCAGAACGCCGAGCGCACCACCCATCGTAAACAATTAGTCCTATTCTTGATCAACATCGGTTTAAAGGAGAGGAAAGGAGTGAGGGTGGGTTTTAAACTTACCGTATCCCTGAATACCTGCATCTTCTGTACAGGTTTCTTTCCGCCAGCTTTGAGTACCTCGCCGGCCCACGGCTTCGGTTCCATGGTATTCTCCTTCTTCCGATCGGCCAAGCTCCCAATACTATCCCATCCTTTCGAACCAGCATTTAGAGAGCCCAGGGCCGGTTGCTGGGCTGCCGCATCTGCATCCGAAAAGATTGCCAGCTTACTCTTCGGCTTCGACGGTCCCGCAGCTGCTCCTCCAACGCCCATATTCGGTCTCGGCGCTTGCGGATCCCGAGGCAACCTCTCCACGCCTGCCGCCAAGAACGGATCTGACTTAACGCCTAGCGCCTTTCTGACCACCGGCAGGACAGGGACGCTATTACTCTGATCCTCAGCACCCTCGGGAAGCGCCGCCCGTCGTTGTTCGAACTCGCCAAACTTCCTCACCAGCCTCGATACCGGCCTAGCCTCCTTCTCAATGCCCATCTTGTAAACCTCCTCGGCCTGCGCCCAGCGCCCTTCACCCTCCAGGTATGCCGCAAACTCCTCGTAGTACAGCGCCAGCTGTTCGCCGATCTGGTGTCTCGAGAGGAAGACGAACGCCTCGCGGGGTGAATCGCTGAACATGCGAATGTAGTGTAGCCACATCTTCAAGTAGCGCGCATCGTTACGGTACTGGGCGCTGCCGACGAAGGCGCGGGTGGCGCGCTCGAGCAGCAGATGCAGCTGCGACTGCGGTGTGGCTGAGGCGGACGGGTAGGCGTCGAGAGTCCAGCGGACGTAGCGGTCGTAGATGTCGAGGGGATCATCTTGCTCTTCGGGATTGAAGGCGGCTAGCTCGGCTTCATATTCAGCGCGGATGGCGTCGTTGACGGACTTAACTTCGGTAGGGTTCGGGGTCGGTGTTAGTTGAGGTGCGAGCGCTTGCCTCGAACTGCTGGCGCCATGTGAAGGAGAGAAGAGTTCTGCGAGTTTGCGGGCGGAGCGACCGCTGGGGAGGGCTTGGATGTTCTCCTTGTGAGATTCAATAATATCAAAGTTGACGGAGTCATCTTGGGGTGTCATCTTGTCTGACGTCTCTGCTGTTACGTGTAAGAAGGCGAAAGTCGCCCGCGCTCGTAAATGTTTCGATCGCTCAATGTCTGGGATGCGATAAAGTCAAAAGGTGCGGGGCCAGCAATTTGTTGTTGTTGTTTTCTTGCGTTGATAAGGTCCCGCGATCTGGAAAGTGTGTCGCTTGTTCGTTGTCGCTAACGTTGACTTTCTTTCACCAATTCATTTGGGAGACGCGATGGGGAGGGTCGTCTTTGAGTCTGTACACTACAGTATGAAGAAATGACGACCTTGGCGATCTAGACCATGCTGAATTGGGTTGAAGGGAGAGGGGCGTGTGGATTTTCTGCGCTTGTTGATTCACCCTTGGCCAAACAATCATGCAAAGTCACCATAGCAACCGCGTGGGCAGCTGGCAAGCGTTTTTGGCAGCGGCTTCTGTCTGGCGCAATGTGTGCCGGCAGGCAGGAACTTCCGACCTGCAGGGACTGAGACGGCGGGGTTCAGAAAGCCACTGCATATCGCATGCCAATGGGGCTGATGAAATGTTCAGCCACATCTCTTCTCACTGCCCCGATTTAACGGTCGCCGCAACATGGGACGGATCATCAAGATGGATCGATGATCAAGCGCACGCCATTATAGGAAACCCTTGTCCAGGATTCGGCTACTCCATCAACGTGCCCGGGAAACACGGGCGAGCGGGCCTTATTTACGGTGTTGTTGTCGTTGTTGATTTTAACTTGTTGGACAGGCGGAGCTCTTCACACAATAACCGAAAGTCGGCTAGACATATCACTAGACTACGAAAAGTCGCAACATTTAACATGCTCCTCTGCGTGCCTAATCCAGCCTATCAGGATGCAAATGACTCGGAGAGATCCTGACCTCCTTCGGAAAACAGCGTGACAGTCTCTTGCGGACCTGACAATAAGGCACTACTGTAACAGGGGTGCCGTGTTGGTACCGGGTAGCCCGGAGCGGGCCGGGAATGGGAACGGGGAATCGCGGGGAAAGGGGAGAAACAGATGGCCAGCGCTACCGATCCATGTCACAAACTTGCACGTGGTTCCTGCCAACGCATATGGGGTAAAAGAAACTTGGTATTGATCATTAAAACTCTATGTCATTCCGCCATTTTCATTAGCCATACCCGTGTCCTTTGGTCATCCGAGGTAACACATGTCGGTCAACCGGTCACCCCTAGAAACCTTCCCAGGTCCCGATTCCATCCGAACGGGTCTCCATCAGCATGAAACCACTTAGAGCTCAACAGCCTTGCGGAACTTCTCGCCGGCAAAGATGGCGTTGTCGGCAAGCTCCTCCTCGATGCGGAGGATCTGGTTGAGCTTGGCAAGACGCTCGGAACGGGCAGGAGCACCAGTCTTGATCTGGCCAGAGCGGATACCAACGACAATGTCGGCAATGGTGACATCCTCGGTCTCACCAGAGCGGTGAGAGACCATGACACCCCAGCCATCGGCGTAGGAGTCCTTGGCAGCTTGGATGGACTCGGTAAGGGTACCGATCTGGTTGACCTTGAGGAGGAGGGCGTTGGCGGCCTTGAGCTCAATGGCCTTCTTGATGCGGAGGGGGTTGGTGACGGTCAAGTCATCAGCAACGATCTGGATGTCCTGGGTCTTGTAGAAGTAGCTCCAGGCCTCCCAGTCATCCTCAGCGAAGGGGTCCTCGATGGAGACGATGGGGTACTTCTTGCAAAGCTCGGAGTAGAGGTTGGCGAGCTCCTCGTAGGTGAGCCACTTGGAGGGGTCGGACTCGGGGTTCTTGAAGTCGAGGTCGTACTTCTTGACGTCCTCCTTGTAGAACTCGCTGGAAGCGACATCCATGGCGATCTTAACCTGGCCAGTGTAGCCGGCCTTCTCAATGGCCTCGGTGATAAGGTCGAGGGCCTCCTCGGGGTTCTGGATATCGGGAGCGACACCACCCTCGTCACCGACGTTACCAGCGGACTGGCCGTACTTCTTCTTGGCGAGGCTCTTGAGGATCTGGTACACCTCAGCACCCTGACGGAGGGCCTCGGAGAAGGTAGGAGCGGCGGAGGGGACGATCATGAACTCCTGGAAGGCGAGACGGCCACCAGCGTGGGAACTGCCACATCGTTAGTTGACTGCTTTGCAGACAAAGGATAGGGCATTCAGACATACCCGCCGTTGAGGACGTTCATGAAGGGAACGGGGAGGACATAGGGCTTCTTGGTGCCAGCAAGGTCGGAGATGTGAGCGTAAAGGGGAACGCCCTTCTCAGCAGCACCGGCCTTGGCAACGGCGAGCGAGACACCGAGGATGGCGTTGGCGCCGAGCTTGGTCTTGTTGGGGGTGCCATCGAGGTCGATGAGGAACTTGTCAACCTTGGACTGGTCCTTGACGTCAATGTTCTCCTTGATGAGAGCGGGGCCGATGACCTCGTTCACGTTCTGGACGGCCTTGAGAACACCCTTGCCACCCCACTTGGTCTTGTCACCATCGCGGAGCTCGCAAGCCTCGTGCTGGCCTGTGGAAGGTTATTGTTAGCATAATGTACATTTCTATCGAAAAGTGTATGAGAGAGCGTCGGTCTGACGTACCGGTGGAGGCACCAGAGGGGACAATGGCGCGGTGAAGGCCGAGCTCAGTAACAACGTCAACCTCGACGGTCGGGTTGCCACGAGAGTCGTAGACGTAGCGAGCGTGGATCTTGGAGATGGGCATTTTGGATCTTTTGAGGCTTGATGTTAGCTTTGTGCACTCGTTGATGTGACCGTTGAGAACGCAACATTGCTTTGAAATAAGAGGCACACCAGGTGAGCTTGGTAGGTAAGTACAGACTGTTTGTTGTTGCGACAGGGTGAAGGTGATGAGGACGTTGTAAGAAAGGTTCAAGATGAAGGAAGATGATGATGATTAGAAGGCTTTATTAGATGATTCTGCTCAACTATGAGCTGGGATGAGAAGAGCCAAAGCTGGATATATCCCGCAGAACAAAAATATTTGGATGAGTCGAATCAAGCCTCGTCGAGGAGTAATAGGATGGCGGGGCTGTATCAGACTCGAGCGGTGTCGGCGGACATCGCCATCATAAGGCGACCAACTGCTGAAGCGCAAGTGAAGCAATGCGGGATAGGCACTTACAGGTTGGTATGTCTGGTGTGGACAAAAAAAGGCGATGATAGTTTCGGGAAGGAGAAGAGAGGAAAGAAGTGGGAGAGAGCAGGATATTAAATCTGACGAGGCCTGGCAACGGCAAGAGCTTTCAGGTCCTTGACAAGTTGGAAGATGAGGAGAGGACGCAATTGAGGCGGGGAGGTGGGGTGATCCTCGTAAGTAGAGGGAACGCCCCTCCTGTTAATCACTGCCAAGCCGTTGCTGCACCCCTGCTGGTGTCTGCAGCCAGGGAGCTCATCCCCGTAACAGAAGCTTGCGCAGGGTACGTACCGGGTACCTGGCCACCTAATCCTGACGCAGTGCTGGTCGCGACTGTGAGAAACTCTCGCAACGAGAAGCTGCAGCGTGCAGAGCGAGGTGGGCACTTTGTTTTCAGGGCGAGGGACGCACAGTCAGCGGCGAGCGACACATCTGTACCGCACTGCTCGAGACAAGTTGAAATGTTGCATTCATCCACGACGATGAGGTGAAGAAGAAGAACCCTGCAACCCTTGAGACCATTGACGCTCCCACCTGGCTGAAGACGTTCAGTGCCATTGGCCGACCACCCGCGCGGGAGCCACCCCTCCTCCGTCTACCCTCTCCGTCTGGACTCCTACGCGAATCCGTCGTCGGCCCTTTCCTGACCCAAGACCCTGGCTTTTTGCAATTCACCATGTCAACCGGATGACAAACGGACAAACTCGAAACACCAAAGGCAGAGGTCTCGAGACGGATGGGGCGAAACTGTCTCTTTCGTTTCACCCGATGGCAGGCTATTGTGGTGAGTCGATGGAAGTCGGTACCACGGCTCTGAGGCTCTATTTCTGGCGTGGTCACAACAAAAAGGCCGACATGCCAGGCGGACAGAAGATGGCTGGTCTGCCTGACCTCTTCATTTTGAGCGTTTGAACGATGCAAAATTCTTGCAGTCTTTTATTAGGGCAACCTTCTGAATTTGATATATTTTTGGTGCCGGCACCCATCTCTGAACGTCATATGAGTCTAAGGTCTGGCGCCGTGAGCTAAAAGCCAATGGACTCCTCCGAACCCTCCACATCCCGGTGCTTTTATCGGCCAAAAATGAAGCTACCCCGCCGTGTCCGCAGAAGATTCGGGAAGGTTTGCGGTCCGGAAACTCTGAATACCGCCATCACTCACCGCTCCGTCGACCGATCTGAACGGAGCAGCTGCCCGATAAAATATAAATGCCGTCCCCGGCCACGTTCGGTGCAATTCAAGCTATCACGGATCGATCGGCCCAGCTCAATGCGTGCTCCAGTCTGTGCTCTGGCGATTTGCCGTTTGGATCGTTAGTCAATGGAGCCAAACTCCGTCATTAGGCTCTTCCGTGGGGTGTTTTGTTTATCAATGGCAATTTCACCCCACGCTGACGACTTTTGGGTTGCTGTGCATCATCTTTGCCTCTTTGTTGGTAGCTCACTCTCATCATCTAGTTTAGCCTTTACTAGCCTTACAACAAAAGCTGACAAGTCTGAAAGTTCATAAGCTGGGGCGAATGGAGATCCAATGACTCCCATCTACCCCGAACAGGTACCCAGCTAGGACTTTTGGAGGTAAAGCAAGCATACCTATACTCTGCACAAGTCTGCTTCTTTTCATCTGTTAGTTTTATGTCTGCAAGTTTATTCTTGTTGTACATGTCATTGTGGTTCGAAGATCGGGTCGCTCACGAGCGTCTTTCAAAGAGCCGTGATCATTGCTAGGTTTGATTAAGGTTGAATGCGGTTGATTGCTGTCAAAACTAATCAAAGCTGACCGGAGGCAATGCACTGCAACGTCTTTTGTCCATTGCTTCCGTAGATTTCGCCCGATCGAGCCCTAGAGGTATCAGGACCCTGCATCTTTTGACATTTGACGTTGACATTGACCTACTTACACAATGGCATTGCAATGCAGAGGTAACCTACACTTTGCTGTCGGGACTGACAAGTCCGTGCAGCTCAGCGCCTGCCCCGCACACCCCTCTGTCTACAGTAAATATACGTATACTGTTAGACCTGCACATAACGATCAAGTGCGTTACAGAGGTTTTGATCGTAATACCCAGGTTATCGTTACTCTCAAGTAGCCTAGTTGGGCTTTTGCACCAATTAGAAGGCCGCTGACAGCTAACAGAACCCACTTTTGGCTGTTACGAGCCGTAACGGCCTGTCACTGGACGTCTCAGAACTGAACCAAACCCCCTAGGTATAACGATTTTGGTGTGGCTCGCCTTCAAAATCTGATCGAAATCGTAATGCGAAGGTTGATCGTTACTCCCATATAAATCTGCACCGTTACCGTGGTCTTGAACGTTATGGTCAGAATATCGTTATATGGCTGATCGTTATGTGCAGGTCTAACAGTATGAAGAGGATGCCGTTGATGTGACAGACCACTACGTAGCGGAGGCTATGGGATAGTACAAACGAATACAGGAAGGAAGGAAGCTATTCACAAGTGGAAGGAAGCTAGAGGTAGGCATATTATGAGGAAAGGCAGTACCTGGCAAGGCCTGACAGGAAGTAAACTTGTCCACGAGATACCCGTACCTATGCAATTGTTCTCTTCTCCCCATTCTCCAACACATTCTCAATCAATTTCCACAACTCTTTTCGCCTGACATTTGCTTCAACTCGGATGCTGTCGCAACTTGCTCATTCACACTACATGCTCCCGCCGTAACCACAAAACGCACGTTTGAGAGGGCGTTGCATGAAACCATCACTGTATGACCGAGTTTAGGTCTATGAAACACGATCAATCCTCACTTCATGTCAACGGAGTAGAAACACCAGTATTGTTGGGGGCAGTTGCTGGCTACAGTCGGCTGAGCTTCCAGACCGCCTGCCAAATCGAGTATAATGCCGTCCATTCATGGAACTCACTCAGCGACATCTCCAGTGTCGCACTGTTCAGGCGACGTCAAGCGCCCCAAGCACCCCAACCCGTAGTGGGCAGGTGGCATGGAGGGGTTTCGAGGGGTTCCCTCCAATCACTTAAAGGCAGGGATTGCCGGTGCCTCACAAAAGAAAAAATGTTAACGCGACCGCTTGCTGTGCGTCCTCACTCACTGCCTGCAAACGTCAGTCTCATTCTGTACGGTCATCTCCTTCTGCGGCTGTTGTGTGCTGCACTATACGTAACCGGGCTGCTTAACAGGACAATACGCAGCCGGTTCCACTGTACTTATAAGGACATTCTTACTTCTTCGTTTGTTTACATTGTCGGTCAATCATGTTTCGCAACTGTCTTTCTCTTCGGCCTGCTTGTCAAGGAGCAAGAAGTGTTCTGCCTCGATCCAAGATCTCACTTTTGGGAACTCACCAAGCCACGACCAGACTCGCCGCCTCTCTGTAAGCCCAAGTAGCCCGGTAACCCAAGAAAGACCACCTGCCTGTTTAGCGACGGAAATGGAAGCTGTCCTGTCCGGGGGGAGATCTGGCGGAAACTGGGACCCACGCACGCACCGTCATAAGCGGAGGGATCAAAGTGGACGATGTTCCAGCGAACATCTGGACACACTGACAGCCGCGGATAGTCAAGGGGCTAGGGGGACCTCCAATAAAGGCAGTCCAATGGAATTCAAGCGCTGATATGATCATTCCCCCGCAGTTATAGCTCGACTTCCTCCCCAGGACCATCACGCTTCTACTCTGTTGCCTCTACTCCTGCTTCGCCATTGACCCCTCGCCAACGTCTTTCAGCAACCCGATCAGTCCGCCCTCGTCGCAACCAAACTCCTGTCCGCTACTGTTCGTATCGCAACCACAAGATGTGCAGAACACAAGCCCAAGCCGATGTGGCAAGTGGGATCAACATCCAGGGCCGCGAGCTTCTCCCCACCAATGTCATTCCCAAACACTATCACATCACCCTCGAGCCCGACTTCCAGAAGCTCACCTTTGATGGTACCGTCGTCATCGACCTCGATGTCGAGGAGGACTCCAAGTCCATCTCCCTCCACACTCTAGAGATTGACATTCACAATGCCAAGATCACCTCTGGTGGTCAGACTGTTAGGTCAGCGAGCTCACCTCCCCCCCCCCCCCCGGTAGTATTGTTTATCTGTTGTACTTACTTTGCCCCCGCATTGATTCTATGGCTACGACCAAGCTAACTTTCTGCAAACAGCTCGTCGCCCAAGGTCTCTTACAACGAGACCACCCAGGTGTCTACCTTCGACTTTGACAATGCCGTCAGCAAGGGCGCCAAGGCGCAGCTCGAGATCCAGTTCACTGGCCAGCTCAACGACAAGATGGCCGGTTTCTACAGGTCGACCTACATCAACCCTGATGGCACACAAGGTCTCTTGGCCGTCAGTCAAATGGAGCCTACCGATGCTCGCCGCGCATTCCCCTGCTTCGACGAGCCTTCCTTGAAAGCCGAGTTCACCGTCACCCTCATTGCCGATAAGAAGTTGACCTGCCTTAGCAACATGGATGTTGCTTCCGAGTCTGAGGCTAAGGATGGCAAGAAGGCCGTGACCTTCAACAAGTCGCCCCTCATGTCTACCTACCTCGTCGCCTTTGTCGTCGGTGAGCTCAACTACATTGAGACTAACGATTTCCGTGTCCCCGTTCGCGTCTACGCTCCTCCCGGACAGAATATCGAGCACGGTCGCTTCTCGCTCGACCTTGCTGCCAAGACCCTCGCTTTCTACGAGAAGGTCTTCGGCATCGAGTTCCCTCTCCCCAAGATGGACCAGATTGCCATTCCCGACTTCGCTCAGGGTGCCATGGAGAACTGGGGTCTTGTCACATACAGAGTTGTCGATCTCCTCTTGGACGAGAAGGTCAGCGGTGCTGCTACCAAGGAGCGCGTCGCCGAGGTTGTCCAGCACGAGCTTGCTCATCAGTGGTTCGGTAACCTGGTTACAATGGACTGGTGGGATGGTCTCTGGCTCAACGAGGGCTTCGCTACCTGGGCTTCTTGGTACTCTTGCAACATCTTTTACCCTGAGTGGAAGGTCTGGGAAACTTATGTTACGGACAACCTCCAGCGGGCTCTCGCTCTTGACTCCCTCAGGAGCTCTCACCCCATCGAGGTTCCTGTCAAACGTGCCGACGAGATCAACCAGATCTTCGATGCCATCTCCTACTCCAAGGGCTCTTGTGTTCTGCGCATGATCTCTACCTACCTCGGCGAGGATGTCTTCTTGGAGGGTGTTAGACGTTACCTCAAGAAGCATGCCTACGGCAACACTCAGACTGGTGATCTCTGGGCTGCTCTTGGCGATGCTAGCGGAAAGAGCGTCGAGGAGGTTATGGATGTGTGGACCAAGCACGTGGGGTACCCAGTCGTTACCGTTACCGAGAAGGACGAGAAGACCATCCACGTCAAGCAGAACCGTTTCCTCCGTACTGGTGACGTCAAGCCTGAGGAGGACAAGGTTATCTTCCCTGTTTTCCTCGGCCTCCGCTCCAAGGATGGCATTGATGAGAGCCTTACCCTTGACAAGCGTGAGGATAGTTTCGAGGTTCCCAGCACTGAGTTCTTCAAGCTCAACGCGAACCACACCGGTCTCTACCGTACCTCTTACACTCCTGAGCGCCTTGAGAAGCTCGGTGAGGCGGCCAGGGAGGGTCTCCTCAGTGTCGAGGACAGAGCTGGTATGATTGCCGATGCCGGTGCCCTTGCTTCTTCGGGCTACCAGAAGACCTCTGGTGTTCTGACCCTTCTCAAGCGATTCGACTCTGAGAAGGAGTTCATTGTCTGGAGCGAGATCATCTCTCGCGTTGCTGCTGTTCAGGCTGCTTGGATCTTTGAGGACAAGGCTATCCGCGATGGCCTCGAGGCTTTCCAGCGTGAGCTTGTAAGCCCTAGGGCTCACGAGATGGGCTGGGAGTTCTCTGAGAGCGATGGTCACATTGAGCAGCAATTCAAGGCCATGCTCTTTGGCAATGCCGGCCTCTGCGGTGACGAGAAGATCATCGCTGCTGCCAAGGAGATGTTTAAGAAGTTCATTGCTGGCGACAAGTCGGCCATCCACCCCAATATTCGTGGCAGCGTCTTCAGCATAGCCTTGAAGTACGGTGGCAAGGAGGAGGTAAGTTTGGTATATCCAGTGAACACGTAAAAACCCGGTGCTAATCAGTCTCTAATTTTCCCCCTTTAGTATGATGCTGTTCTCAACTTCTACCGTACCTCCACCAACAGCGATGAGCGCAACACCGCTCTCCGCTGCCTCGGTCGCGCCAGGAGCCCCGAGCTGATCAAACGGACCCTCGACCTTCTTTTCAGCGGTGAGATCAAGGACCAGGATGTGTACATGCCTACTGCTGGCCTCCGTAGCCACCCTGAGGGTATCGAGGCTCTCTTCAACTGGATGACCGAGAACTGGGATGAGCTCGTCAAGAGGTTCCCTCCTCAGTTGTCGATGCTCGGAACCCTTGTTACCATCTTCACTTCCAGCTTCACCAAGAGAGAGCAGTTGGCCAAGGTTGAGAAGTTCTTCGAGGGCAAGAACACCAACGGCTTCGAAATGTCCTTGGCCCAGAGCTTGGATGCTATCCGCTCCAAGGTTGCGTGGGTTGAGCGTGACGGCGAGGATGTTGCCAAGTGGGTGAAGGACAACAAGTACAGTGCGTAAAGACGGCAAAACCACTGAAAGGGTTGATGAAGGCCAAAGGTGTGTCTGACTTTTGATGGCCAGGTTCCTCGGAAAATGGAACGCCATCAGCGACGAGGTATGTGCATAAGCTTTGAATAGGCAAAGAGTCATGAAACAGCATAACAAGGGCCATGTGTTTGGGAGGGTGTTAAAGATACCATGACTGTGCAATGCATACAATAGAAGCGACATATTGCAAATGGAGGTCGTTGATGCGGCATCAAGCCAAATTTAACCGTTGGATATCCTCTGATTGATCGTCGACTCCGTAGTAGTACAAAGGTTTGTTCTAGCGAGTTTGAGTAACCATCGCGGTGTAAGTAAATAATGAACTTGGTCTATGTCAGCAGACCAGATTGTTGCAGACAATAACTAGGTATACTTGAAGCTGTTGTTGGCTTCTCTAACCTTGATGAGCACAGATATTGTTAGTTGATACAAGTGGGTCCCGACGTCTCGCCTACATTCACAAAAACGTTTCTCCACTTTTCGCCACAGTCTCATGAGGCCAAAATTGAGAGCTCACTTTCTTCGACAGCGCAAACACCGCAACAGCTCAACACCTTAGTGGGGAGTTTGTCAAGATGGCGAAGGATAAAAAGGGGAAAAGCGAGTCCAAAAAGGCCAAGCTGGCCGAAAAAAAGCAGAAGCAAGAGAAGAAGGCCGAAAAGAAGGCCAAGGTGAAATCCGCAAGGATCGAGGGCAGCGACGCCGAGGATGTCGATCTCGACGCAGTCCTCGAGGAGTACAAGAAGCAGCAGGAGCAGTTTCTCAAGGTCACGGAAAATGTTGTCGACGAACCTCCGCGCGCCCGCGCCGCTTCTACTTTGATGGCCAGCCCCTCCAACAGCAACCAGCTCCTCCTCTTCGGCGGCGAGTACTTCAACGGCGCCCTGGCTACCTTCTTCAACGACCTGATGGTCTACTACATTGACCGTGACGAATGGCGCTGCGTCACTTCGCCCAATGCTCCGCTCCCGCGGTCCGGCCACGCCTGGACCCGCGGTGGAAACGACAGCACCGGCGTCTACCTCTTCGGCGGCGAGTTCTCGTCCCCCAAGCAGGGGACGTTCTACCACTACAACGACTTTTGGCGCCTCGACCCGTCCACCCGTGAGTGGGCGCGCATCGAAACCAAGGGAAAGACGCCGCCGGCTCGGTCGGGTCACAGAATGACTTACTACAAGAACTACATTATTTTGTTTGGTGGCTTCCAGGACACGGCACATCAGACAAAGTACCTCCAGGACCTGTGGCTGTACGACACGCAAAACTTTGTCTGGCACTCCATCACCCCGCCGCCGGCGCAGCTGAAGCCCGACGCCCGGTCGAGCTTCACGTTCCTGCCGCATGACCAGGGCGCCGTGCTCTACGGTGGGTACTCGCGTGTGAAGGCGACGGTGGCGGCCGGTAAGCAGACGAAGCAAGGAGGAGGTGCTGGCGGCTCCAAGAACATTTTGAAGCCCATGATCCACCAGGACTGCTTTTTCTTGAGAATCACGCAGCCGCCCGCTGATGCGCCGCCCAACACGGCCCCCACGGTCAGGTGGGAAAAGCGCAAGAAGCCGGCCAACACGCCGAACCCCACACGGGCGGGCGCCACCATGGCGTACCACAAGGGCCGCGGTATCATGTTTGGTGGCGTGCATGATGTGGAGGAGAGCGAGGAGGGCATGGAGAGCGAGTTTTTCAACCAGCTGTTTGCGTGGAACATTGAGCGCAACCGATTCTTCCCTATGGCATTGAAGAAGGCTAGGGCGCCGGGGAAAAAGAATGGTGCTGGAAATGGTGAGGGGAGAGAGAGGGTGGGAAGGAGGGACAGAGCGAGGCAGAACGAGGAAGAGTTGCTTAGACAGCTTGCGGCGCTGCAGGCGGGCGCGAAGGGCGTGGATGGTGCGGATGAGATGGAAATCGATGCCCTCTTGAAGAAGCAGAGGGGCGAAGAAGAGGAGGAGGAGAAGGATGAGAAGAGGAAGGTCAGGGATATGCCGGTGTCGATGGAGATGCCGCATCCGAGATTCAATGCGCAGCTGGCGGTGCAGGATGATGTGCTGTATATTTACGGCGGCACGTTTGAAAAGGGCGATCGCGAGTTCACGCTGGATGATATGTATGCGATCGATCTGGGCAAGATGGATGGCTGCAAGGAGATCTTCAAGAGGGAGGGCGATGATTGGATTGTGAGTCGATCTTCACTTGGCTTCACCGAGGCTGGTTTACTGACAAAGCGGTGTAGGAATCCGAGGACGAAGATGACGATGAGGAAGACGACGAGGATGAGGACTCGGATGAAGAGGCGGATGATGAGGAGGATGCTATGGAGGTCGATGATAAGAAGGCCAAGTACACTCCCAGCGACAGGAAGAAGAAGAAGGCCAAGGCAGGCGAAGAGGCCCCCGTCGCTGAGACTGCCCCTATCGCTGCGGCTCCTGAAGAAGAGGAGGAGAGCGAGGAGACTAGGGTTGATGACGGCCTGCCACATCCTAGAGTACGTTACACATTCTTGTCCCTTGCTTTTTTTTTTTTTTTTTTTCTCCCTTTTTTATCTTTTTTTTACGAATTACCGCTAACACAGATACCACAGCCTTTCGAATCCCGCCGCGATTTCTTCCAGCGTACCTCGGCCGAGTGGCAGGAGATTCTCATGACCAACCTCCGCTGGAAGGGTATCCAGCCCGAGTCGCTTGCCGTTAAAGAGATTAAGACCAAGGCGTTCGAGCTTAGTGAGGAGAAGTGGTGGGATTGCAGAGAGGAGATCACCGCGCTCGAGGACGAGCAGGAAGCTGCGGGCATTGGTGAGGTTGTTTCCCTTGCGGACAAGGCGGGCGCTGGTGGCGGTGGTGGTAGCGGTGGTGCTGGGCGTAGGAGGTAAAATTACCTAACGTTGAAGAAGAAGAAGACGGAAAAGGGGGTTGGGTTTGCAGTGGAGATATATGCGATATACCCTGCCTTTACGACTGCTGTTTATCTACCATGTAGTAACAGTTTAGACACAAAGGAAAGCAAGACAAAATCAAAACTGGCGTTGGGCGATGGATCTCATACTTATCCCATCATCATGTTGTTTTGGTCACTGTGGTGTTTATTGTGGGATAAAGGGAGCCGCCTGGCAGTGTACAAAAGGGGTAACATTTGGGCGCTGTAAGTCGCTGTTGAGCGAGCATGTGACTGGGCGTTTGCCCCTCAGCGCGACCCCTGCTGTTTCTCGTCAACCAGACGCGGTGGCGTACGACGGACGGAAGGGGAAGCTCTCTTCACAAGGTTTTCAACTGCAATTTTCCGCACCAGGGGCGAATGGTCGATTGAAACCTTTCGTGACTGTCAAGCCGTCAAACTGTCACTAAGATTGCGTCTTCAGAAGGACAATACATTCTACCACCACGAACTTGATCTCTCCACGCGCATTCCCCTTGCGGTACAGTTATTGAGAACCTTGACGACTGCACAACCACCCCAAGCGAATCTATCACAAAACCAGCCCTTGAGCTCCCCGCGAGAACTCCCACCATGCCCCTCGGCATTCAGCGTCTCAACGCCAAAAAGTCGCATCCCAATGACCGAATTATATTCATCAAGCCCCTCAAAGGGCCGGACGAAGCCATAGCGCAAGACTTCCTGGAGAGGATAGCAGCGCAATGCCGTGCGTCTCTCCTTGCCTTCTCTTTCCCGAAGCTTCTGATTTCCTGCCAATGGCCCTCTAACATACTAATACCCCCCTCGTCAGTCCCCATAATGAAAGCCAACCATCTCTCCATCACCTCCCTTGAAGAGTATGAACCCAACCGCGAGTTCGTCGGCCGCAACTTCAACGCCGGCGAAGTTATCCAGCTCGTCCTTAAATCCCTTTCGGGCCACTGGCTGCCCTTCAACTACGTGCAAATGGTCATGATGCACGAGCTCGCTCACTGCAAGCAGATGAATCATTCGCGCGCCTTCTGGGCCGTGCGCAACAACTACGCCGACGAGATGCGCCTGCTTTGGGGTAGGGGCTACACGGGTGAAGGACTGTGGGGCAGGGGAGCGCTGCTTTCCACGGGCGAGTGGGAGAGGAATACGGTGCAACCTGGTGAAGGCCTACCGGAGCACTTGTGTGGTGGAACGTATAGGAGTCGGGGGAGGAAGAGGAAGGCCAAGGCTCCTAAACCGAAGTTGAGTTACAAGGAGCAGAAGGAACGGAGGATACTGAAGAAGTTTGGCGCGAATGGGGTCAAATTGGGGGAGGATGAGAAGGTCAAGAAGGAGTTGGAGGGTGGGAAGAAAGTGGTGGCAAAGCCGAGGGTGGCGGGCAGTGCGAGGGGCAGGGAGTTGAGGGCTGCGGCAGCATTGGCGAGGTTTGAGGGGCTCAAGAAGGAGAAGGAGGAAGAGGAGAAGGTGAAGCAGGAGGAGATTGATGAGGATGAGACGGGCAGTGGAACGGAGAGTGATGAGTATGAAGATGAAGATGATCAGGATGGTGTGGTTGCTGTGGATATTAACGGGAAGAAGTTGCTAGATGGCAAGGGTAGGGGAATGATCAAGGTCTGTGAGGATGAGAATCCCGAGGATCAGGATGCGCAGCAGGAGTTGAGGGAGTTGATGGATTTCAATGACGGCGCAAGGAATTCAACACCTAAGCTGTCTGCTGTTAAGGTCGAACCATCATCGACGCATACCGGGATACCAGAGAATGTCATCCAAGCTCCGGTTTCATCCCACAAGAACAGAAAAGAGAATTTGGGGGAAGATGCAAGCCAGAAGGTCTCACAGATCCGATCCACCGTTCAAAGTATGAACAAGAACCACCATGCCTCCACGACAACAGAGAAACCCCCAGGGGTAAAAACCGACCCAACTCGCCCACCACAAAAGAAGGAAAACATATCCCCCTCATCAATCCCAAAGTCTACCTCCGAAGCCGAACCATCTTCGAGAACCTGTCCGATATGCTCATTCGCCAACGAGCCCACTTGCATTACCTGCACAATATGCGCCAACGTCCTTGACCCAAAGAACGTGGTTGGGTCCTGGGTATGTACCAGTCAGACATGTCAGGGGAGCCAGTATCGAAATGCTGGGGACTGTGGTATTTGTGGTGTGTGTGGCGAGCGGAAGCAAAGAGGAACAGGATGAAGGACCAGTTCCAAGTTGAAGTGAATTTCATGGCCACTATATCACAACTCTCCCTGCCGAGGTTTATCACTTACTAGATTTTGCACTGCTGAAACGGGCATTATCTTTCATCCCAGCGTATGTGGTATAAACTTTGTATTTCGCAAGGTGTGTATCAACTTCTCTTCCCAATCAACAGAACCTAAGTCATGTACATAATAATGCCTTTAATCATCAAGCCAATCCAGCTCCTAACCTTGTCTACCAACAACAACAACATAAGAATCAGTTCTTTGCAGGTGGAAACCTAAGCAGCAGCAGCAGCAATACTCGTCAGCGCCTCATGATACTTTCCGTGGATTCTACTCCCCCTTCCCGCCTTACTCTTCTTTTCTTTTGTTTCCTTCTCTCTCCTCTTGTTATTCTCATCATCCATCCCCGTATGTTCCGTGGCCGTATTCATCTCCCTTTTTTCCACCTCCCGACGTTTCTCAATCCTACTACTCACCCGCCTGTTCATAAAACTCCCAGTAGGCGGCGCCTCATTCCCAATATTCTCACTCCCCCCACTTTCATTCTCCCCCTCCCATTCACGAGATCTTCTTCTTCTCTCCCATGATGGAGCTTCTCGTGGCCGTGGAGAAGCACCACCTATGTTCATGGCAGCAAGATACGACCCTGCCCCTGGCCGCCCTGGAGCAGGGGGGCCGAGTCGCTGTATGCTCGTGCTGTTGATGGTGAGAGTTGGTTCGATAGTGATGGTTTTGAGGAGATTAACACCACTACTGCCGCCGCCGAGCCCAGTGCTGCTGAAAAGGTCAAAGTTGTTGAGGTTGAGGTCATCATCGGCTGTTTCACTGAGTGTGCGTTTGATTCGCGGGACGTTGTTGTTGGGATCAAAGTCAAAGTCAAAGTCGGAGTAGTCGACGACGCCCCGACCGCCGCTGGAGGAAGAGTGGCGGTACGAGTGGGCAAAGAGGTGTTTTAAAGGTCGAGGGTAGCGGCCTGGTCTGCTGGTGCTCCTGGGTTGTGGTTTTGGTGGTGGTCCCGCACTGGAACTCCCTCTTTTGGGCTGGCTCAGCTTCCCCCCGGGGGTGGTAGCATCCCATAACGCATTCCCGCTCTTCCGGAGATGACTTGGCAGAGGGGCAGGAAGGGACAGGAGAAGGGGGGAGGGAAAGTCCTTGTTGCTGTTAGGGTTACTATGTCGTGTAGCCATGCGGCCGTTGTCAATCCTTTCGTAGTGGATTTGTGGGAGGGTCAGGGGTATGACGGGTTTGGGGAAAAGTTTGTCGTGCGACAGAGGGGCGGCGAGTCGAAGAGGAACTTGTAGGGAGAAGAGGAACGTGAAGACGAGAGCTGTGGGGATATTGGGTGGGAGTTTCATGTTGGCTGGTCCTTGTTGTTGAAGACAGGCACTGTTATGAGTCTGGCTGATGACAGTATGATGCTGGAAGAGGTGGAATGAAGGAGAGATGATGGGACATGATGGTTGATATACCGGATATTTGTGTAGATCATTCAAGTTTCAAGCTCTTTGATTAGGTCGGTGCAGTCGGATAAGAAAAACATTGATATCGACATTGACAACCTGGACGGGAAGGAAATCATCTTGAACCAAATAGGGATACTGTTCGACTGTCGTGCCGCTACGTTGCAGAAGTGTTGAATCTGAGTTACACAAAGTCTTTGCGTACGATGCGAATCGACATGGCGTTTCCCCTGTCGCGTATGATGTTCAATGCACATATGCGGCTCAGTACTTAGTTTAGAGTTTAGAGTCTCGATTGAGTTGATGTATATTGAGCTGACCTCTCCCAACCTACCAAAGTGCAATCATCATCTCACATCCCTTTCAACAGCCACACTTCACTCGGAAATAATTACATACCTTTGGCTTGACCCCAGCCCAATACACTGTTCAAGCATAGGGAATCCCCATTACGGCTGTGATGTGTCTAACTTGGTTCTGCAACAATGAAAGACCGGGATGCGGATGATGACTGTGGGGATTAAATATCATCTTAGCAGTCACAATCCAAAGCAGAGCTGGCCATCTGCCCGAAGGCCACTGAATTGGATTCATGGATATATCTAACCATATTCTAATCATGCAATCGCTCTCTACAATAACTCCAGTTTCCCAGCTGTTAACATGAAGATGGATCGGATAAGATATTGTAGAACATGTAACCAGGGAGATATGCCATGCGATTGTCAAGCCAGCTGCATGCTCTCTCTCCCGAAATAAGCTTGAAAGGTTTGACAGGTATAAACCGCGTGTTCTACCAACCCGCCAAAGCCAATACACCCATCAGGGGTTCGTTGAACCGGTGCAGGCCACTAAGAAAGCCTGCCTGGCCGTCCTCATCCATTTACACATGCATTTTCTGAACCCTCTGGACTGTGGCCTGGTACTGTCACTTGACTCTCCTTCAGTTACTGGCAAGGCGGTACTCGTCGAAGTATTTTTCTGTCTGATGTAACTAGGTGTGATTGGTGAAGCCGGGAAGATGTGATCACAAGCTTCTACATTGCGGTTTCTTGACGTGAGTGGCTCCATCGATCGTGATCTGGGTTGAACAAGCCGTTCGCGGATACGAGATAAGGTTTTCTTGGGTGGACGCGGATGACGGTCGCTGACAGAAAATGAACTCCGTAATCCGCAAGGTGATGGTAGACGAATAGCCTTGACCGACCGGGATTCTGCCACATGATTCCTTGCGGCTTGTTGCGCATGCAATCTTGACGACGTTGTTACAGGAGTTGAAGCTGCAGTTGCGACGATAAAGGCTTTCTCTTCTGTACACGTCCCACAGCCTACTCCGTGTCTGTCAGAAACACTGACGGTATTCAAGATAGTTGAGCCGCATCCCTTTTGGAAAGAGAAAGCCGAAAGTTTTGGTGGGGATGTCAGCTCCAGTGTTGCGGTCTCTAGGGAGATAGGTTTCTGAAGTTTCTTCAACTTCTCTTGTGCTCTAATCATGGCAGCTCTGGAAGCTTTCAGCTTCAGGCTGTTGCTAATTGAGTCTCGTAAGAAATCGTCTTCGTCGAGAACTATCACATCTTTAGGATCGGCTAAGCTCGTCATTGTCGCCTTGACGTCAAAATTAGATGTCTGTGTATCCTCTTGAGGTCTGTCGAAGGTCATGTCTGGGCGGGCAGATGGCGAGGAACGTATTGGGACTTCCCGTGTGCAAGATGACGTGCTGTAACAGCAAGGCTCACTTTTAGCTGGACTGGACGGCAGATCTGGCAATGCTTTCATGAGCTTTGGGACACTGTTCTGTAGCCGGAGCCTCTTGGCCGGCGAGACTGGTACAGGCTGCAGTATAACGGGCTCTGACCGACTGGTGGCGCAAGTAGTGTCTGTGGAGGATGGTGTCGAGAATTCACTAGTCCTGATCCTGGGCAGAGCAACTGTTCTTCTATGTTCAAAGGGTTTAGGACTCTTGGTCCTCAGGCACCCCTCAAAACCAAGAGCTTGGTCTTGTCCGTCCTGGTTCTCCGTAGAGTCTGGTTTCAACTGAATTGCCGATATCCGATTTCCAGCCTCTACAGGCGACTTCAGGAAGTCCATTGTTACGTTCGATTTTGGCAGATGATTATCTTCAGAAGCCGAATTTGCAGCAACGTCGAGATAATCTACAAGAGATGCAAGATCAGATAGGCCCGGCTCTATCGAGAAGAACTTGCTCCGTCGCAGATAACCGTTGAATGTTGACGGAACTCGCTCTCCTGCGTTCAAGCGAAACGATTGACGCTTGTCAAGGGGTTCCGAATTCGACCTGTATAGGGAGGTTCTCGCTGACAAAGGATCTTCTAGTTGAGGCACATGGATCGCATTGTTGCCAAAGCTCGACCTCGAGTTGTCGTCGTCGCCTTCTTCGGGGCCGTCGCTCTCATCATGCACTGTTATCCGCCTGGCATCAGAGTTCGATTGTTCATCTGGATTCTCCGCTGTCGCAACTGCCAGATCGTCCGATTTTTCTGGAATACTAGCGTCACTGTGGTGGCAGCTCTTTCTCTTTTCGGTACTGGGCATAGTTGCAGCCTGCAGTGACGGTACATTGGTGGCTCCGTTGACATCTTTCCTTCCTACCATGGAACCACGAGGTGGTTCGTCATCAGGGTAGTCGAATGATCCTTCTTCGCCTTCATGTTCCTCAATCGAGTCATGGGCGATGTTTGACTCGTGGGTCTTTATGGTATTTGTTGCGCCAGAGTAAGTTTGCGGACCCTCGCAGACGTCATCCCGGGAAGGATAGCGGTTCATGTTCAGGAAGGGACCAGCACTGCCATCGTTTAGTATCCTCGCTCTATACATGTCGGGTACTCGAGTTGGGACAGGCGCCAAAGGTCCAGTCCATGCGGGATTGCCATCAGGGAAAGTATCAAAGTCCTCCGAGTAATCGTAGTAGAATGTTCTGTTGGGCAGTCGATGAGATCCGTATTTCAAGTCGGATGAAATTCCTGACGACGAGCGGTACATGTCGACGATGGAAGTCAAACTTGGAGTCCTCGTACCATGATCTGATGACTCCATTTCAAGCTGTCTGCGAAGGCCCGGACTCCAAGCAGAGGAGCCACTTGAGTTCGTTCTCGCATAGGGTCTCGAACCCGGCCTCGAATTGTGGCTTGAGAGGGATGAAACGGATCCATATGGATGGAGTCGGGACATCGCGGGTCCTGATCTGCGGCCATATTGAGCGTACGTGGGCACATACGATCCATGGATGGTTCGCTGAAGATATTAGTAGAGGTACATTTGATATAGGAGGAAGGTAGCATACCTGGGAAGCACGGTCGATCTCGACCATTCTACTATAGTCCACAGCGCCACTCTCTGTCACGGCGGGAGAGGAAGGTCGAACTCCCGGGCGCTTAAGTCTGGTTGGGTAGGGGAAGGGGGAGCGAGGTCTCTGTAGAGCCGGACCGCTGGCTTGGCTGTGCATGGTCCCAGTAGACGATTTGTTGGGTAGCGCTCGAGAACTGCAGCTCGTCATGGAAAACGACCGCTGGTCATCGCGATATTTGGGCGAGAATGGGCTATGTGTAGATCGTTGACTGTCAGAGGCATACATTGAGATGATCTCTGAAGCAGTATCTCGGTACGATGGAAGACATCTTCGATCGTCTCTAAGGCTGCTGTGGGTATCAAAGCTGTCGCCGGTCGAAGGTCTGGTTGGACCAATGTTGCTCACGGGCGTACTGGCTCGCATTGGCACTGTCAAGCGAGGCATGGAAGCAGACTTTGCCTGTCCATGGCGGCGGGGGGTAGGCGGAGATGGGATATTGAGAGCGGATATTGACCTGACTGGCCTGATAGAGAACAAGCCAATATCTCCAGTCTCCGTTGTTGTCCTCAACATACTCTCAAGCGGTCCTGGTGATGGCAAGATACGCGCGTGTCCGTTAGGACTTCGTAGAGGCCGCGAGAAGGCGTGAGATAAAGGGATGCCAGGATTTCTGCCAGCGTCCGCGGCATACTGGCGGCCGAGAGTGCCATGGCTGGCAGCACGTCTCGCCATCCGCACCTGGTCCATGAAAACGAGTGAATTAGCGACCCCGAGCAGATGATTTAGGTATCCAATTGGAAGACGAGTGCTAGTTTTTATTGAACTGTTGCACCAACACTCCAAAAAGGGATAAAGCTGTTGCCTCCTCGATGTTGCTGGAAGCCCCAAAAACCACTCGATCAAGCAACGACACTACTTGATGTCACTAGAGACGACCGGAAAGCCTCGAGATTCGGGTGGGTGTTGTTGTCGTCGCCATCTCCAGGTCCATCGGGGGACGGGAGACTTGATCGCTGCGTAGTCGGAAGATGGTAAAGTCGGCGGTAGTCGGCGGAAGATAGCTGTGATTCCTTGGCCATGAAAGGAAGAGATTTCGTCCGTCTGAAGCTCGAACCTGTGTTTGGTGTCGGGTTGCTCAGAAAAGGAAAGCACATATGTCACCCGGGTACCTAGGTGTTGTTGCATTTTCATTCGCTGCCGTGGTCGATATTGAATGTCCCCGCGCCTGCCGTATGAATGAAGGGGATGCCATTGAAGACGCCAGATTTCTGGCAAGGGAGGAAGGGACGACACGATGTTTGGAGTCCATTCCAATCATGCTCCCCAGGGACCGATTTCCAATCCCAGTGCTCCCGGTCCCGGCCACCATCATTCAAGGTCATTGCCCGAGCTAGCGGCCTGTCCATCTCTGAGAATCCCAATCATCCCTTCCTCTTGTTTCCCAGCCGTTCGATCATTGTTGCCATGCAAAGAGTCCCGACCCGCTGGAGTCGATGACAGAATGGGTCCATGATATGACCTTCTTCTTTTCTTTTGTGGTTCGATACGGCCTGCCTGCCCGCGAAGTCTCCCCTCGCACAAGCGGAACAGACACTCGTCTGTTAGCATCGATGTGATATTATCGATCACAGCTGCAAGCGCTTTCTGACAAGCATGCATTCTCCTGACGATACTCATTCATCACCATCGCCCGTGTTGCATCTTCGCAGAGACATAGAAGTAGTTGACGCATCGCAACTCAATCGAACCCCCACAGGCTGTTCATAAATCGAAGGAATGATAGAGCTAGCACATCTACTGGTGCCATCGGTCTTTCAAATGCAGATCCTGATCTCAAGCATCGAACTTCATGCTGGTATATGCGTTTTGTCAGCGCGTTGTAAACATACAAGTTCTTGGATAAGGCCGGGCCTCACCCATTCGGATATAACAGAACGACATGATCAGCTCACTATCCTAAACGGTACCAGCATCAGCCCTCACAACGGCTCTCCGACATGTGCAGTGTCATAGTAACGATGATATATCCGAACGTGGCCGTATCTCTTCCCCACGTATCGTGCAATTGCGCTCGAATACTGAACCCAGCCACAATGAGTGCTGGCTTGGGAACGACAGCAAAGTTCCGCCGAATAGGTCCGAAGCTGACAACTGAAAATAGCGAGGTGAGATCTTGCTGGATCTATACACAAAACCAAGATCCTGGCGGTTCAGCTCATCAAGCTCGTCAGCTTATTAAAGGATACCACTCGCAGCGCACACCTCGCATGAAATGGCTGCCATCGACATGGACTCGTGGCAAGATGTTGTTCAAATTCCCTTGCCCGATGGGGAAGACGGAAGCACTGCACTACGGCCCCGTTCTGCCCATTCACACAGTGGAGTTTCGGTCCCTGAGACCATGAAGGAACGGCGTTACGGTACGCGGCACAGCAGCCCAGGGCGGCACAGAAATGGCGTTTCTTGGCTTGCGGGGAAAGCTGTCCGGATTCAAAGCTGCCCATTCTCTTCTGATGGGACTACCCCACGCACTGATGCAAGGTGGCCGTTACTACGGGGCGGAAATAAAGGGGTTCTGGTGCAGGAACGGATGGGATTATTATTGAGAGAAAAGGTGTGGCCAGCTCTTTGAGAAGGTCCAGCCAACATGTTGCTGTTTAGTTTGAGAAATCTCGTTGTATGATGTTCACTTTCCACTATTCCGACCCATTTGCGACGAAAATGGGCAAACATGGAACGGTACTAGTAAATCTGTAATGCAACATGGAACTGATGATCCGATGTGTAATCAACAAACAGCAAAATGCCACCTGTATCCAGGCTTGAATAATGAATGACAAAAGTCGCCGCCCCTGGCATCCGAACGATCCCTTTCATCCTCCCGTGGTTGACAACAGTCCAGTCTCGGGGTTGTTCTCCGCCTCGCGGCCGACAGCCGCAGGCCCCGCGAGCGAGCTCTTTGACCCTGGCGCCCTGCAGCACCAACTGCAGGTGCCGCCACTGACCACTCAGCAGGCTCCAAGGCTGATTGCCCACTGGCGTGTACCATTTTCGTAGCGGCGGAGAAGACACCTGTTCACTCGACCGACAGAAAGCAACCTGGCTTATAAACACGGGCTGGAGATAACACATTAAAAAGCAGATCCCCCTTCTCGCCTTCACCACCCGCTTGCCTCTGTTTCCGGGACAATTTCCATCTTATTCAACCTCTCTCAGTCACCCGTCCTAGTTCTTCCCATATCCCAGGCCCCTTTTCTGCCTTTAAATAGCCCAGAGTAAGTGGTGCCCACTACCCACGTTTGCCTGTGTACTGCGGCCCCGCCAGAGCTACGACCTTCCCGTTGAACAACCTAATCCATTCACGACCTCCGTGCTCCGTCCTTCCTGTTCCACCATACAAACCCCCACGACGGCTTTGAGAAGCAACTCAAAAGAACAATATCCAAGCATCATTTTTATATACCTCTACCAACTTACACATCTAACTCCGCTTTCCCAGACAGCCGGGAAACGTAAACATGCACGCACCTACCAAGTTTGCCCTCGGGCTTCTCGCGGCGGCCGCCGTGGCCACTGCCTCCGATGTTATCCAGTTGAAGAAGGACACCTTCGATGACTTCGTCAAAACCAACGACATTGTTCTTGCTGAATGTAAGCTACACTTGAGATTCAGCTTCTTATGTAGGTAGTTCTTGCTAACAGTCTTGCTCTTCAGTCTTCGCACCTTGGTGCGGCCACTGCAAGGCCCTTGCCCCCGAGTACGAGGAGGCTGCTACCACCCTCAAAGAGAAGAACATCAAGCTCGCTAAGATCGATTGCACTGAGGAGTCCGAGTTGTGCCAGCAGCACGGCGTCGAGGGCTACCCTACCCTTAAGGTCTTCCGTGGCCTCGAAGTCGTCTCCCCCTACAAGGGCCAGCGCAAGGCTGCTGCCATCACTTCCTACATGATCAAGCAGTCCCTTCCCTCCGTCTCCGAACTCAACAAGGACAACATTGAGGAGTTCAAGAAGGCCGACAAGGTCGTCATTGTCGCCTACCTCGATGCTGCTGACAAGGCCTCCAACGAGACCTTCTCCAAGGTCGCCGATAAGCTCCGCGACGAGTACCCCTTCGGTGCCAGCAGTGATGCTGCTCTCGCCGAGGCTGAGGGTGTCACCGCCCCTGCCATCGTCCTCTACAAGGACTTCGATGAGGGCAAGGCCGTCTTCACTGAGAAGTTCGACCCCGAGGCCATTGAGAAGTTTGCCAAGACTGCCTCCACCCCCCTCATCGGTGAGGTTGGCCCCGACACCTATGCCGGCTACATGTCCGCTGGCATTCCCCTCGCCTACATCTTCGCCGAGACCCCCGAAGAGCGCAAGGAGCTTAGCGAGGCCCTCAAGTCCATCGCTGAGGCCCAGCGTGGTGTCATCAACTTCGCTACCATTGATGCCAAGGCTTTCGGTGCTCATGCCGGCAACCTGAACCTCAAGGCCGACAAGTTCCCCGCCTTCGCTATCCAGGACACCACCAAGAACCTGAAGTTCCCCTTCGACCAGGAGAAGGAGATTACCGCCGACTCCATCAAGAAGTTCGTTGATGACTTCGTTGCTGGCAAGGTCGAGCCCACGATCAAGTCTGAGCCCATCCCCGAGACCCAGGAGGGCCCCGTTACTGTCGTCGTCGCCAAGAGCTACGACGACATTGTCCTTGACGACACCAAGGATGTTCTTATCGAGTTCTACGCTCCCTGGTGCGGTCACTGCAAGGCTCTCGCTCCCAAGTACGACGAGCTTGCTACCCTCTATGCCAACTCCGATTTCAAGGACAAGGTTGTCATTGCCAAGGTTGATGCTACCCAGAACGACGTTCCCGATGAGATCCAGGGCTTCCCCACCATCAAGCTCTACGCTGCCGGTGCCAAGGACAAGCCCGTTGAGTACTCTGGCCCCCGCACCGTTGAGGATTTGATCAAGTTCATCTCCGAGAACGGCAAGTACAAGGCTTCTCCCCCGGCTGAGGCTGAGGAATCCGTTGCCGCTTCCGCCGAGTCTGGTTCCTCCACCGAGACTGGCACCGTCGAGGAGCCCGCCAAGGAGACCAGCCACGACGAGCTCTAAAGGGTCAGTCGAGACGAGACATTAAGTATTTAATAGCATCATCATTTATGGGTTTTACTGGGAACAAGGGTCTTTCGTTGGGCAACAGCAATATTCGGGAAAGAAGCGGCCTAGTACGGATCTGGGAGTAAGATACCAAAAGGCATGTTTGTGAGGGAATTCAATATAGTCTATCAGTTGTTAGCGGAATCTACAAAAACACGCACAAGATACAAATCAGTCATGAGTTCCTTTGTTCGTGATGAGTTGTCAATTATCGAGTGGTTTCCTTTGTTCCATTCCTTTCTCTTTGTCTTTTCAAGCTGGCACCTTGAGGGCCTTATCGCGATCCTTATCAGTTTACAACCGGTTGACGGCAACGACCTAACCTCGAGGACACGTCCACCGTAACAAGCCGATTGATATTCTGCCTCCACACTCCGCCCGTTTGTTTCCCTCTCACTGATTGGCTCAATTGCACCCAGCACCCAAGACCCCTGTCATGCCGTCACGACCTTTACTTAGCCGTTCCCGCGGGGTGCCTGCTCCGTCTGGCGATACTGACCTGACGTCGTTTCAGTTTCCGGTTCGGTTGGTTTGGGTTCAGTCCCAGCTTCCATCATTCGTAACCGTCGCTTCAAACATCGCTATTTCCCCTTTCCCCAAACGAACGAGCAAATAGATCGATACCCTCCTCCTCGCGCAACTTTGATATCCCCGATCGCATTATAGCGAGTACTACGACGAACATTTCAACGACCGAACGAATTTGACCCAGTAGCGATCGCAATCGCAATCATAAACGCAGCTCCAATTGGACCGAACGAAAAACATTTAGTTACACCACACAAAGCACAAAATGGCCTCCAGAGTCCTATCCACCGCCTTCCGTCGCGGCTTCCAGACATCAGCAAGGAGGTTCGAGTCTGTCGCTACGACCTCCAGCGCTGGAGTTCCCGGCGCGGGCGCGGTGCCACCGTTGCCTGCTAGGAAACCTGTTGGTGCTTTTCGTGGGGGGTGAGTTTATCTATCTTGGGGGTTCATTCTTGGATTTGGAATTCGCTTAGGTTGGGTCGGGAAGTTGTGGACTTGGGGATGCTACTGGATCGGGTGGGCGGTGCGTGGGAAAATGGGCGAAGGCAGCAAAAGATGATCCCCAAACGACCAAACAAGGGTGTAAGAAGGTTTGGATAAGGGGAATTCATGGGAATGACTGGTCATTGGGATGAGACGGGATGGGGATGCGACGGAGGATTGTACGTTTGGGAATGGAAGGAGACAAGCAGCTTGGGGAAAAGCTGGTGACAACGACGAGAAGGGGACAGGATTTTCGCAAGGCTGCATGGACACGATGAATGCTAACCCGCCGATCATGACACAGGCTCTTCGGCTTCTTCTTTGGTAGCACTCTCGCCGGCAGTGCTGTCTACTACTATGCGCTCCAAGAGTACAAGGCCTCGAACGATCTCTTGACGGAAGATATCTACGTAGGTGGACATACAACAACATGATTAGATTAAGAGAAAGACACAGTGCTGACATTCGAAAACACAGGCTCTCCAGAATGCTGTCGACAGGCTGAGCAAATACCTTGTTACCTTGGAGGAGAAGATGGAGGCGTTGGAGAGGAAGAGGAAGTAATCGACATCTTGCGGATGAGGAAAGAATACATAAGAAGTTTGGGGACACGGGCACATAATCGACCGTTATGTGAAAACCAAAAGAATAAGAACTAAGGATGCGGGATGGGGTTCTATTGACATCAAAAGCTGAAGTGCGAAAGTGGTGTCCATTTTCATGGTTTGAAATTCCAGTTGGAGGAGAGCGTGCTCTGGTGGTAATCGGACGGGAGCTTTCGCTGTACATACATCGAAATTGGGTTGCTTGAAGCCAGAAGTTGGAATCGACAAGGAAGAGGTTTTCTTATCACTGGTACCTGGACACTCAAATACCGGGCAATTCTGTGGATCTACATTCAATAGGTAAGCCTGATCACGACTCTTATCACCCTGTCGAAGGTACCAGACGGGAGCTCTGAAACCGATATTCAAAGCTCAACCCACAATGACGGGAGCTCTCCCATTGGCTTTCCTCGTAGACTCGTAGACTAGGTGACCCTGGGCTTGAGTGGACGTTCAGGGGTAGCTCTGGCAGATCCAGTGATCTCGCGCCGTTTTATAGCAACCCCGGACCCCGGCCTAGCGCTGTAAACGCGCCACGCGGTTCGGCCCATCTAAAACTTCCCTCTTACATCACCATTTGAACTTTTGTCATCGCGCCTTAGGTACCGATCTTGCGATAACACACACTGCTGCATCTCTCCAACACCCCAAACAGACACAAAAACCATGAACAATTTTGGAGTCATCGAAGTCGCCAGTCAAAAGACGAAAAACGCCCCAGGATGGGCGTACGTCCCAGATACCGGCCTTACGCCCGCCGCGGCCGCCGCGCTACAACCTCTCAACCGCAAACGTGCTGCGCGCGACAAGGCCAATGTCGGCGCCCCCGATCTTACTGCCAGACAGGATGCAAAGATTCGGAAGGATCTTGAGGCACTAGACAAAGATTCACATCGGGATGCGCAAATCCCCATACCACCCAAGGCGGGTGGGACCAGAGGTGCGCAATCGTCCGAACCTTTTATCCTAAAGAGATCACGGAATTGACATGGCATGGTGTTGCAACAGCCCAAAACAAACACACACCGAACGTGCGCAAGATTCTACAATCACAAAAGACCTTTGCGAACCACTTAGACGACTATCAAGCCTTCCTGGCACTGGCCGAGAGCAATCCTCAACTCGCAGCTCAAGTAAACAAACCAACACCGACAACAACAACAACAACAACGGCAACAACAACAGCGAGGAACTCGCCCGCTCCATCGACTATCACCACCGCAAGTTCAAATAAACGCTCCTCGGCCGCGCCTAAAAGGGCAGCAGCGACGGCAGCAGCAGCAGCAGCAGGGGCAAAAGAAGAAAAGGGCGGGTCCAATAAAAAGCTCAAGACCCAACCACAACCGAAACCCGTCGCCGGCAACGACGATGTAGAGATGACCGATGGCCCTGAAGCCACAGAAGAAATCATAACCCCAGACTCCTCAGAACCATTTCCCCCACGTCCCGACACACCAACATCCCTTGAGCCCTCAACAACAGCAACACCAACAACAACAGAACAACCAAAACTCCAATCCTACCCACCAGACGGCACCATCCTACCAGCCTACAACCGACCACCACCCACTCCCCACCCAGGCGACGACGACCCTCTGCTCGTCTCGCACGTCCCTCCCTTCCCAACGGACGAGGAGCTCCGGGCGTTGATAACGGCTCCACCGCTGAGCTACCTCGAGGCGCGGGCGCAGTGGACCGAGGAGGAGGAGGGTAGATACCCGGCTCGCAGGTTTTGCGAAGTGTGTGGGTATTGGGGACGGGTGAAGTGCATCAAGTGCGGGGCAAGGGTTTGTGCTTTGGAGTGTCTGGAGGCGCATCGGGAGGAGTGTTTGGTTAGGTATGGGTTGTAGGTTTACTTAGGGTTTTTAGGCGGGAAGATAAGAGGTAAGGTAGGTAGGAGATGTGGAAGCAGACGGAAGGATGTGTCACTCACCTCGGCCAGTAGTACTCATTGATGAGTTACCATTGAGGTCCGTCTCTACTGAAAGTCTTCATCTGAAAGGCTATTTATTGATCCGCGATCGGTATCATGCATAACATGGCAACAGAAGTTGAAGAACCGAAATGCAGGCTCAGCCTTCTCTTCTGGAGTGGAATTTCCTTTGGCCGAGACGAGGAAAGGGTAACTTGACTGTTTCGGCGAGGATTAGAGCAAAGGAGGACCGCTCTACGGTACAGTTCACATATTTCGATGATAGAAGCATTGCACTGGAACACCATGCACCTGCACCCGTTGTTGAGACTCCCACTTTGAGCAACAGCACTGGGAAGCAATGCCGCATCATCGAGCATCAATATAAAGCCCATATCTTGGGTTCAAAAGGGATAAAGGTTGTCAGGGGACTCTATCAAGTTATTGCTGGAAGCGGCTAGAAAGATGCTACTTCCCACACCCCGATTAAGCTCGAGTCACAGGGCTGGATGGTATGGTAAACAGGTGGTGAAAAGTTCGGATTTTCATTTCTCGCCTTTGCACGATGGGGTCGAGTCATGTGTTCGGAACACTTTTGCGCAGTTCTCCTATACGTTATATTTACCTTCGAGTTGAGAGAAGTCAATACCTTAACCGAGAGACCAACGAATGGCTTTAGCTGGATACTCTTCACTACATCTGCTTTTCAAGGATGGATGGAGCCTTTCCAATACCACCATGTCGGACAAAGATGTATCTCATGAAGGACACTATGGGGGGATAAGCATTGGGTTATAGCAAACCAGGGAGTTAGATATACATCTGGATTTAGGGACGAGATAACATTGCCCACCTGTCCAGGAGACAGAAATAGTGCGACTTGGGAGGTATTAATACTGAATCCAGGCTTGGGGAAACAGATGAGCAATGAGCTATGAGTATTATACAATCGAGTATAATACCGAAAAACATTGTGGCAAACTGAAGAGTAATGAATATACTGAACAACCTATATGAAAGAACAACCGATATATATATGTGTGGTATCTCCCTAAATGACCAGAATCAACAACCCAGGAAAGCAAACCGAAACATGCCGTACACACCAGAAAACCATTATGATACCCAATGCTTGCTAATTCGTTAACATCAACATCAAAACACACCACCCCCAATGATAAATAACCGCTCCTCCTCTCTCTTCGCCCATTGCACCACCTTGTTTGCGCACTGTGTCATGATTCCACTCGACATATTCGGTCCCGCCACGCAGTAGAACTCAAACACGGGCGTAATCCAAGCCAGGCTCGCCGCGTCCTCGCTCACCAGATGCAAGACTTTCAGGTGCGAGTGCTTGGCGTGAATCGAAGCGTGTAAGTGGTGATAGAGCGTCATTAGGCGGCGGCGGGAGACTAGTTTTTCTGTCGTCTTTTGGGGAGAACCGTTTTCGGAAGGTGAGGAGGATGGTAAAGGGGGGGACGAGGTTTCGAAAGCAGGAGAGAGACTGGATTGGCAGCACTGAACATTTGCGCGGGATTTGTAGAGAAAGTGACTTAGTTGCCCTTGTCCCTGGCCTTGTCCTGCTTCTTTGGGGAGGGGTTTGGTATTCAAGATGGTCTCGATACGCGGCCGGCCTTGACGGGCTGCGGATTGGATGAGTGCCAGAGAACCGTTCTTGGCCAGTTGGAGGGCGAGTTTGTCACGCATGGATTTAAGTTCGAAAAAAGATTCTTTATCGGCGGAGATGAGGACTATGGCAATTTCTTCGTCTGGTGAAGTCACTGGTTTTGGTGGTGGTGGTTGTGGTGGTTGTTCTGGGTTGTTGGTGTTGTTGTCTTCCGCCGTCTCTACCGAGTCAAAAAAGCTCACATACATGTAAAGATAACCGCGGTTGTTGAAGGCTGGTAGGCACAGCGGTACCCAGTTCTCGCCGCCGCCGGCGCGGATGCCGCCAGATTCGAAAAGCATGTTGAAGATTAGCTGGAGGTCGCTTGGGTGGAGCGAGTGTTTGCGCGGCCGGATCACGCTCACTAGCTTGCCCCCCGCTACGATTAGGCCGTAGAGCAGCTTGTCGCTGCGGCACTTGAGAAAGGCATTGTTGATGGTGGCCCGGTGGGATTTGCGCAATCTTAGGCATTCCAGGGCGCCGAGGAGTGCAGAAGGAGAGCCCTTGGTGAAGGAATCGGCGAGGGAGGAGAGGAGGGATTCGGTTCCCTCCAACGGCTTTCGGAGGTCGGTTGAGGGACGATGCACAAAGATGTTCTTGAGTGTCGGAAGTGTGAGGGTGGACAGGATCTGCATATATAAAGCGTCTAGTTGACTTCGAAGCTGGGCATCGCTCTCGCCTAGTCTGCTAATGGCCACAAAGTAAAGGGGGCCTTGAGTGCTGATGACGAAGCGAGCGTTTCCGGCGGTGAAACCTAGTAGGGGGTCCTTTGCGCCTTCGTAGAAGGAGATGATGGTCTGTACGACTCCCATGTAAGAGTTGATCAGACTTGTATCGCCGTGTCGACTCCAAATGGGCTTTCCGGCGGAGGATAGGATCATGTAGTGTTTCATCTTGGATTTCCAGAGTGACAGCCGCTGCTCGTCGGTGATGCCCTTCTCGCCTAGTTCGGGGATATTATCGAACTCCTTCTCGAACCCGGCCAAGCTGTCGCACGCGCCGGTCCTGCTGGCCTCGAAGGGCTGCACAGAGGATGACTGAGTCCTCAGCAAGGACCATGCCCGGCTTCGCCTGTTAAACTCGCCAGTGACAAGATCTGCCAGGTCGCCAGGTGGGCGGAGGGTTGCGGGATAGCTCGCGACGCTCACAGTCTCGGCCAGGTCAGTGCGCGGGGAGGTATAACCGCTGGCGCTCGACTGGGGCGAGGCAACGGATCTCGTCGCGCTCGTCGCGCTCGTCGAGAAAGTGCCGCGCGATCCATCGGGAAAGGACAGAGTAGAGATATCGATGGTCGACACTTGGGTGGTGGGCTTGGAAGCGGCCGCTACGTGTAGGGCTCCAGATGCGCCATCGTCCGATAACTTGGGACTGGGACGGCGCGGTACGGGAGGGACATGATCGACCGCTTCGGTGTTGCTTTCGGGGGTGTGAGGGGGTATAATTGTGTCGTTGTTGTCGTTGGTGCCATCGTTGCTTCCGGCTTCAGTGTCCCGGTCCATTGTTGTGAGTAAGACAGTGGCAGGTCGGCGTCGACAGGTTCACCGATGTCGAGCTGGTCGAACTGGGCATTGTCGGACGCTTTCGTTCACTCTTTGGTTATTTCCGCTGGCTTATTCGCAAGTCCGCTCCATGGGGGATGGAGATGTCGGGGATCTGTGGTCCGAAAATGACGGAGCTCGGATGAGAGATGGTGGAAGTGGAAGAAAGGGGACAGACGGACCCGAAAGAATGACGACAGTGAGAGCGGTCACACATGCCATCCCCCTGTACGCCAGAAGGAAGGGGGGGTTTCAATCGCAACTCGCAACCGCCAGACCTTCCAGAATCCAAAAATGTTAGCGATAAGATAGCGGGCCGCTCCTGCAGCTGGGTGGGTGTTAGTGGGGAATATCAGTGATTGGATGGAACCCCGTTAGCGGGTGCAGGCCACGGCAGGGGGGGAATGGTGCGCTGACGAACAGCATCAACAGCGCTGCTCCACAGTGTCTTACAGATGCCCACCCTAACAACCTAACGAACAGCCTCACAGTGACACCGTCGACAGCTCCCGCCTGCTGCACCTCAACGTCCAGTCGTCGTCAACGACACGGGAACCTGGAACTGTCTGTTTGGAGTGGAAGCTACCGTGACATCTTTCAGTGGAGTTCTCTTTGGGTACCTTTGCGACTCAACACCAAAGACACCATCCATCCCGTCCCCCGTTTCCCGTCGCCCCCTCCGAGACGGCAATGACCTATAGCAGTCTGCCTAGATCAGGGGACGTCCTGTTCTCGAATCCCTAGACTCTCAAGGTCTCCTCCTCCCACCATCGCCATCACCCGCCGCCAACCATGTCTCTTGATCCTACCCGGCCGAGGTCCATCTCTCCCGAGAGCTCTGGCCGCGAATCTCCGGTACCCAAGCAATGGAGGAACCAGCTTGGGAATGGTATGTCATGTTCCTCTCCCTCCCTGGAAATATACCAACTAGAATACACCTAGCAGCTAGCTAACCAGGTGATGGACAGACGAAGTTGCGCCGAAGGACAAGAACTACCGCAAGTACGCTTCCGGCGTCGAACGAGCTCTCTCCCTGTTCGATACAGCCCTCCAAGAATGGGCCGACTACATCTCCTTTCTCAACCGCCTCCTCAAGGCACTCCAAGCTCGACCGTCCACCATCAACACCATCCCCGCCAAGGCTATCGTCGCAAAGCGTCTGTCACAATGCTTGAACCCGTCTCTTCCGTCCGGGGTTCATCAAAAGACGCTCGAGGTCTACAATTTCATATTCACAGTCATTGGCAAGGATGGTCTGTCGCGAGACCTGCCACTCTATCTCCCCGGCCTTGCGTCGGTTCTGTCGTTCGCCTCCCTTTCCGTCCGGACCCCTTTCCTCGACCTGCTCGAACGCCACTTCTTGGGTGTAAACCCGCGATCCCTACGGCCTGCCTTGAAATCGATCATACTTGCTCTTTTGCCAGGCCTAGAGGAGGAAACCAGCGAGGACTTTGAGCGCACATTGAAGCTTATGGAACGCGTCAAGGCCGCTCTCCGCCCACCAGAAAGCGAGACAATAACGCCAACTCACTCCTCTGGCGACGACTTCTTCTGGCAGTGTTTCTTTCTGGCTTCCATAACCGGGCATAGCAGGAGGACGGGGGCCTTGGCATACCTTATGCGCGCCTTGCCTGAACTGGGACATCAGTTACATTCCGATGGCTACAAGGCTGAGACTCGCAATGGCTTGGATCCCGAGGTTTCTGCCAAGTTGGTACAGCTGGTAACGTCTCCCGAGCCAGGATTGCTGATCCGCTGCTTTGCTGCCGGTTTGGCCGATGACCAGATCCTTATTCAACGTGGCTTTCTTGATTTGCTCGTTACCCATCTTCCGTTGCACTCCAAGGTATTGCAAGCCAGGGCCAAGACCGACGACCTAGAACTCCTCCTGAAGACCGCAGTTGGGGTAACGACCCGGAGAGATATGAGTCTAAACAGGCGGCTGTGGACCTGGCTCCTTGGCCCCGAGCCGACAGTCGCACACGAGGGCGAAGGCGGCCCCGACTCTCCCACAACTACTGCAAGCACCCCTGCCTACTTTATGTCGAGGACCAGCTACTTTGAAGAATTTGGGTTGCGACCCCTGACCCGGGCCCTACTCGGCATGATCAAGGCTAGTAGAGTTGGGAACAATCCGGCAGACCGGGCGAAGCCATATCGTATCTGTCTTTCCTTGATGGACAGGTGGGAAATTGGCGGCTTGGTTGTGCCTGAGGTATTTCTTCCCATTGTTGACAGTGTCCGAGACTTCAAAGCAAAAGCAGACAGCAAATCAGACTTCACCGAGGTGCTCCGGAGTGCAAGTGTTTTCTTTGACGGAGTCGAGAGCGGGTTGATATACAGCGAAATTCTCAACCTCGTGGCGCAGGCTATCAGTCCGGGCAAACTCTCAGTGACTGATCGTAGCGACAAGCTTGACCTTGTCAAGTTCATTCTCGGCCATTTCAACGTCAGCGAAGAAGAGATGATAACCATCCATGCTCCGCTTACGGTGCTCTCCATCTTATGCATGATCGAGGAGTTGAAGGAGAGTGATGCTTATGCGACCACTCTGCTACCAGACGGTACGACTTTGTTGGTCCAGGCTTTAACAATAGCTGCAAGCTTGTTGGAGCTCGTACCAGAACGAGCGTTCCCGACTAGCGCGAAAGCTAAGGCTATCGAGTCCAAGGTTTTGGCCGGAATCCCGAATGTTGAACTGCTGAAGAAGATCAAAAACTTCTACCACGCCGAACAGGGAAACTTGGAGGCCACCTCTCCCCCATTTGTACCGCAGAATGTGGCGGAACTCTTGTTGCAAAAAGCTTGCGACATGAACTGTGAGAGTTTCAGTCAACGCGAGTCCGGCCCGACTGTCGCTGCAAAGAGCAAAGTTCTCTTGCTTCTTCTCACCAAGACACCTCACAGATCGTTCCTCGATACGAAGAAACTTCTTGCTTCCATTCACGAATGTCTGTCATCAGATGCTTTTATTACCTTTACCACCTATTATTCCCTATTAACCCTTTCTACCCACCTTTATTCTGCCGACCGGGTTTCCCATGTGGACCTGTCTGAGTTGGTTAGTCCTTTGGTACGCCACGCATGGAGCTTTTTATCATCGTCAGAGCCGAAGTATCACGTTGAGACGGTCCGAAGTCTTTGGTTACTCCAGACGGCTCTGACACCAACCAATCGAGACATCGAGGCAGCCATATGTTCTCTAATGCTGGAGAAAGATGTTTCAGGCACATTTATCCAGCGTCCTGCTGACCCCGGAAGGAGCTTCAGTGTGCTCTGGTCGCATAGTCTTCAAGATAACCCCTCTGGAAGCGATCGCCGAGGACCCAAGACCCCCATCTTTGACGCAAAGGCGCCGCCACGTCTTGGTGGTATAGATAATTACGAAGTCATGCTTACCCGCCCGTTATTCCTAATGTTAGATGCGCTCACCGATGAGCGGACGCAGCTGTTCATGACAGTCAAGAGTTGGCTGAGCAGCCTAGTCGGAATAGACAAGTATGACCCCAGGCCTTCTGGGTCACAAGTCACAGCTTGCTAACGCCTGTGCTCCCAGAATTTTCAACATCTTCGTGTCCAGGTTCGCCGAGCTATCATGTCTGAGGCGCCAAACAACCTCGGCTGAAGCCAAAGCTGTTCACAAATTCTCTGAAGAGGATGATGTGGAGCTGGCTGTGTATTATCTTCGCTCCTTATCCAATGTCTTTCGCTTCACCCCTGATAGCATTTGGGCGTTCCTTGCGAAAAAGACTATCCGCCCAGATTCTTACTTCCCATCATTATCTGAGATTAGTACGTTTATATCCCATTCGGGCGTCTTGCACATGAAAGCTAACCAGATCAGCCGGATCCGAGGATGATCTGACCTTCCAGGAGTTTTTCCTCAAGGTTGCCATGCAATGCATGGCAGACGTCAACACTTTGAACGACGAAAGCTCCCAAACAAGGGTGACACAGCTTTATCGTTCAGCATTGGGCGTCATGCACCCTATCCTGGTGAACCCCTATGCTGAACCACTAGCACAGTTGCACCTTGAGAACCCTCTCATCGATATGCTCACCCAGTCACTTTCAGGTCCGGAGCCTTACGTCCAGACCTTGCTTCTGGACGTTGTCTTTGCGGCCCTCAAGCTACGTGAGTTAGCACCAGTTGAACTTCCAGAATCACCAACCGCAGAGAAACGTGCCGCGAGTGTTACGGCAGACTCGGCTAAAGCCTTCCGAGCTGTGGCTGGAGGGAAACCACCATCCGCTCTTCAGCCGCCTCCACCCACGCTGCTAAAGTGCATCCTTTCCGGACTCAGTGCACCCAGCAGCCGACACGTCTTGGATAGCTGGATTAGCTTTCTCGCTGAGTGCCTACCGCTTTACTCAGACTCAATCTTTCAAGTCCTGATTCCCTTGGTCGAGACACTCTGCAGTCAGATTTCCACCACCTTCAGCCGTTTACAGCAGCTCTTCCGAGCCTCCGACGAGCCTCAAACGCACAGTCAGATTGGTCCCGAGACTACCTTAATCTCCCTACTGAATGGCCTCGAGCAGGTACTGGCAAGGGGACACGACAGGCTACTGGCTGAAGAGGCCAGAGCCCAGGTTGTCAAGAACCCAGACCAGCCTCAAGGCTTTTTCGGCAACATGGTTTCCGGTGTCTTCTCATCCGACACACCGCAGACCCGGAGCGCCACAGCTAACGACCGACTTACCGTCCTTCTGGCCTTCCAAGATGCGGTGCGTATCTGCTTCAAGATCTGGTCCTGGGTTCAAGGGAGCGATGCCTCCCTGCAAGACAACTCTTCGGGTGCTTCGTTCAACTACACCTCTTTACGAATGAGAAACCGAGCGCGGAGGCTCCTTGAGCATCTTTTTGCTGCTGAGACGCTAGAGTGCTTGGAAACGGTGATTGGGATATGGAGGGGTGCACTGGATAGTTCTGATACGTCCAAGGCTGCCGAGGTGTTCAATCTCTTGCCTGCCCTTGATGGATCTCGGCCGCAGCATACAATCCCGGCACTTTTCAACGCTATATATAGCAGGACTAACCCGGGCGCGCTGGATCCCTCAAGGAGGTCGACACTTACTATCGAGCTGCAGGATACAGACGTGGTGATTTTCTTGGTTGACTACGCACGCACTCTGGAGGATGATGCGATGGATGAAATATGGCAGGACTGCATGATCTTCCTGAAGGACCTCCTAGGCAACCCGTTGCCTCATCGCCAGGCGTTGCCGAGTTTGTTGGAATTTGCTGCGATCCTGGGTGAGAAGGTGGACAACACCAACTTTGGAGAACAGAGGAAGATGCGTCGTGAACTGGCAGATCTCTTCCTTCGTCTCCTAGCGGCTATCTTCACTACACGGCCAACCAGCTTCGTGGAAAACTCTTCGACAAGCTACTCTTCATCCACTACCAACCTTCTTCTCTCGGAAAAGAAGCCAAATGAGGCCCCTCGGACGCTTTCCGTAGCAGCCATCCGGACTCCATTCGAACGCGCAGACGATGTCGTTGGGATCCTCTCCAACATCGTTCCCAACCTGCCCAAGATCCTCGTTGAGAATGACCGTATCCTCACGGCTGCCACCTCCATCTCGGCCAACGTGATCGGCCCAACGCTGCGGTCCAAGTTCTTCCCCGACACCGTGTCAAAGAACACCCTGGTGTTGCTCCACCAACTATCCCGCCTTCCCAACAACCAAAAGTCCTGGAAGAAGGACGTTGCCGATGCCTTCAACGATTCGCGCTTCTTCAGCTCCAACCTAAGCCTCGTGCAAACCGACTGGCTGCCCCTCCTCAAGCAATGGACCGTCGCAGACAAGGAACGCATGCCCGAAATCCTCGGCCGCATCACCCCACCCTCAACTGCGGGCATTGTCTTTGGCGTCGGCGCCACCTCCGCCCGCCTCGAAGCCGACCGCAAGACGCAACTCAACCTGCGGCGCATCGCCACCGTCATCCTCGCCGCCACCGACGACACCTTCGTAACTGAGCTGCCGTCCATTCTCGACAAGCTCGTCGAGCTCCTCGGCGCCACCGCCACCTCCTCCCCTTCCTCCACCACCCGCGCCGAAGTCTACATGGTCATGCGCGCCCTCGTCCTCCGCACCAGTGCCATCCACCTCGCCCCGCTCTGGCCCGTCGTCAACGCCGAGCTGCACGCCGCCATCTCCTCAGTCGTTGCGCCCGACCACTCCGCGCCCAGCGACACGTACGGCAACCCGGCCGTCATGCAAGCCTGCAAGCTTTTGGATTTGCTTGTCTGCGTCGCGCCCGATGACTTCCAGTTGCATGAGTGGTTGTTCGTCACCGACACTATCGACGCCGTCTACCGGCCCAGCGCAGCCGGTTATCAGCCCGTGGCACTAGTGGATGAAGTCTCTGAGGAACTCAACGGTGCCCTTGTCACTCCCCACGCCCACCACTCCCACTCCCGCTCCCTATCCGAAGCAGGAGCCGCAGCTCTAGGCCTAGACCCGTCCTCGCTCCATTCCCCCACGGATGGAATCGACGGTCAAGGTCAACCCCTTCGCCGTCCCCTGCTGGGAAATCTCCCAGGTCAAATCTCCGACGAAGTAGGCATGGAGCGCAAAGACGAACTAGTGGCCAAGGTGCTCCGGCCGTTTTTCGGACAGCTGAGTATCTTTGCGTTTGAGACAACGTACAAGATGACGGAAGTGGACTGGGAGGGGTGCGTGAATGGATTATTGAGGGATCTGTTTGATGAAAGGAGTGTGGTGAAGGCTCTTTAGGACCGGGCCGGCTTTGCGTATGGTGGTGGTGGAGCGGCGGGGTTGAGGGATGTGAGAGAGTTGAGAGGGAGGGAGAGGGAGGGGAGGAGTAGGTCGAGTTCGAGGTCGGGAACGGTAAGGTCTAGGGCGGAAAGTAGGTGGTGGTGGGATGGCAGTAGTAGGTAATTGGGATGGAGGATGCTTTGAGCGTTTCAAAAAAAGGGAGAAGTAGGTTTGAGTAAAGTCTGACACTGTTTGGTTTACGTACTAGAGGTAGCGTATTTTGTTCCTTGATGGTTGTTTTATGCCTTGTACAATATCGATAGAGGGGGTGTTTGTTTCCCGTCTCGTTGATCTCCTGACAATGACTCCTGACGGTGGTGGTAATAAAGAAGGCCATCAAAATGGGAAAGAAAATCTCTTACAATATATGCATGCTCGTGTCACATCCGTCCAACGTCCATTGTCCATATCATGTCCTGTTCCTTAAAATTCTGTCCCAATCCCGAGGCTTCATCAGCCACCTGGTTCCCGAGCCTAACCATAGTACTCCGGGAGATCCTACTTGTTTTCCTTCCCATGGCCGCAGTGATTGCTAGTTGTTGTGCGATGAGCGTCTCCTTCGTTTTCGCTTCCTTTTTTCGGCGTTGTCCACTTTGGAGGTGTCGACTTCGATGTCCTGGGCGTAGGAGGTGTCGTAAGCGTCATGGGCCTCCGACGCCTCCTTTGGCGCCTCGGGGAGTAGCTCTGGTATTGTTTGCTCCTGGTCGTCATCCTGTTTCCTCTTCTTTTGCCCCCTATTTTCCTCGTACTGCTTCTTTTCCTCCTTGTCGGCGTCAATATTCCCCGGCAAATAAGCCACCAGCGCCTTGCTTGCTCCCTTTTGACAATACTGAATCACGTCAATCTTTGGAGCACCCTCCGGTACCAGAGCGGCAATCTGGTTCAAATCGCTTTGTCTTGGCAAGAACAGCGCCTGCGGCAGAATGCGCTTTTGCTTCTGCGTCGATGGGTGCTCCTCCTTTTCTTCTTCCGGCATCGTACATGCCTTGTACAGCTGCTCCAGGTTATACGGCTCCATCTTGCTAAGATCGAAAACCTCCTGATCGCGGTACGAGACGCCACCCCAGGGCGGCGAGGCGAAGACGAGACACTCTTCTAGCTTGAATCCCGCTAGGAGGCCATCCAGTTCCTCGTTGTCATCCTCTTGTTCCTGCCCCTTTGCCGCCTCTCCACCCTCCCTTCCCCTCCCCTTGGTGCCCCTCGTCTCCCAAAACCTTTTCATAACCTCAAAGCAGTCACCATGCACCCACGTAATCTTATCGAGCACATCATACACTTCCGCATTATGCTGGGCGCAGGCCAGCGTCGACCTGTCCTTTTCGATAGCAATGATGCGATCCCATCTCCCAGAGGAAAGAGCAAAGGCAATCACGTTGCCTCCGGCGCCGCCGAAGAGGTCGATTAACACGCGTTTTCCGTCAGCGATGGGGTGAGTGGAGAGGTCCCGTGCGATGCGCGTGGCTACCGGTTCGGGCGTGACGCCGAACCAGGCAGAGTCGGTTAGGTGGATGTCGTAGTCGTAGAATTCGAAGATTGAGAAACGTTGGTGCCAGTATCTGAAGTGGGGTGAGAGGGGTGTTAGTGAGATTTGGATTGGGGGATGAGGGACGGTGACGAGAGGGGGGGAGTTTACTTACTTTTGGATGTCCCAGGGTACTTCACCGAGTTTGGTGTAGTGGTGACAATTTTCGTCAAGAGGGAACTTCTCCCCTTTCTTGAGAAGTTTGGGACCCATGCTCCTGATGACTGTGACAGGCTTGGAGGTATTGAGTTTTGTATTGTTCGGATTGGTGTTGGTCTTGGATTGTGAATCCTGATTTGCTGTGGTAGACTGGCTGAGATTGGGGATCGGGACGTTTAGCGACAAATCAGTTGACCTTCTTTCTTCTTGCCTGTATCTCCAGGAATGATGTGGTTGAGAAATTACGGACAGATCCGATGGAAAGACCAAATGGTTGTGAATTGAGTCAAGAAGTGAACCTGAGATGGATGTAAAGAAGTACTCGATACCCGGAAGGCGCCGCGGTCTGGATGTACTGTGTAAGTCACAGGGACTAGACTAGTCCAGTCTTTTTCCCCAATTCAGGAAACCCACCTAGATTTGCGCAAACCCCACAGCGTGCCTGGAATTGGGAGCTTTGACCATCAAGGTCCACGCCAGGAGGAGCACTGGGCTGAAGTGGGGCTCGCTCTTGCTGCTGTCGTTCATCAACGTCCACCGTGACACGGAAGCTCCGAGTGCTGTAAATGCCAGGGTCGCTTCCTTCATGCCGTGGACTTGCATTTCGACTCTCTGACGATCAACATCCAAATCGCGGATGACCACCAATCTTTGAACTAACCCAACATTCGTTCGGACTTCACAGCATAGCATAGCATACAACAATGACAACCATGTTTAATGCCCTCAACCGCTTCATATCCCGGCTCGACGGCGATGCGGCCACGTCCAAGGAGAACCAGCCTGGCGGATTTGGCTTCCAAGTGCTGCGAAACACCAACCCAGACCTGGCCATTGAGCCATGGTTTGACTTTGTCGTTGGAATCAATGGGCGCATGATTGTATGTTCGAAACCGGTTCATTCCAGAGAGCCACGAGTCTAACAAAGCTCTGCTCTAGGACGACTCTGACCCGAGGCTCTTTGCCCAAGAGGTTCGAAACTGTGCTGGCGGGGTTGTACAGCTGGGACTTTGGAGCGCAAAGGTATTTCACCATCATGAGCATGCCAGGTTTTTGACACGCAATGCTGACACCTTTTTTCCTCCTTCACAGGGCCAAAGAACTCGAGCACTCCACATCCCCGTTCCCGCCGACACTGCCTCCCTCGGCCTTACCCTCCAATGGACTGCCCTCTCCGTCGTTACCAACATCTGGCACGTCCTTGACGTCCCCGCCAACTCTCCCGCCGACGTCGCCGGTCTTCTCCCGTATAGCGATTACATCCTGGGTACCCCCGAGGGTGTCCTTCACGGCGAGAGCGGGCTCAGCGAGCTAGTGGAGGACCATATTGACCGGCCCCTGCGTCTTTACATCTACAACAACGAGTACAATGTCACCCGCGAGGTGACCATCCAGCCCAGCCGGGACTGGGGTGGTGAGGGTGCCCTCGGCTGCGTCTTGGGCTACGGCGCTCTGCATCGGCTGCCAGCGCCCCTGAGCGAGCCTGTGCACGCCCCCGGCGAGACCATGTTTGACGGCGACTCGGAGCAGCACGGACACGTCGGACAGCAGCAACAGTATCAACAACAACCCCAGTACGGATACAACCCGAGCGCACCACCAGCAGCTAGCCAATACGCCCCCGCCACTGCGACTTTCTCTCCGCCACCACCCGTCGGCGGTGGTGAGTTCCTCATACCAGCGCAAATGGTCGGCACACCACCACCCCCAGCAACACAGTTTGGCGGCGCGGTCGCTTCTGCTCCGCCTAGGGGGAAGAAGAAGGAGAGACCGGCGAATAGGGGAGGGTTGGGCTCGATGGATGATTACTTCAAGGAGCAGGAGAAGAAGAGTAGGGAATTGGATAATGCTCCTAGCAGGAAGAACACACCAGTACCGCCGCCGCCAATGGGAGGTCCTCCCAAGGGTGGACCGCCCAAGACAGTGTCGTCACCGCCGCCTGGCAGTGCGCAAGGCGAAGATACGGCTGACCGAGGCGAGAGCTAGTGGCTTAATGTGGAGTATTGGGAGAAGTTTTAGTCTAGGAGTTCGTGGACGACACCTGGGATATGATGATTACAGATACCCAGGGCTGGGACTTGGTGACTGTCTTTGACAATGGCGGTGGACCTTCCGTCCAGTACTTGGCTTTGGGGAACTTGCGGGCATTGAATTTAGTTGAAGAATTCCGTCACCTGGCGTCATGACAGGCCTGAAGTTGGTGTGGCTATAATAGGACCCCTCACGGTAGTATACTTTACACTAGTGTGATCATGTTCAGCGAGGGGGAGAAGGAAGTAGAATAATCCAGCTTGAAGCATCATTTGTACATTCTGTAGATCGAAACGAAGAAAGGTATAATAAATGCCAACCTATTTCAAGTTACCCTCCCGCCTTTGTTTTGTCTTCTGCTGGCTCCTTTAAGATCTTGGACGGTTCTGTTATTGTTTGCTTGCTTGATCGCTTGCTTGCTTGCTTGCTTCCTTCCTTCATGTTCCCGTCTTTCGACCATTTCCCACTCATTTACCTGCATCTGTTTATCAACCCCTGAATCGCAGGACAATCCTCCCCATCCCCGCTGGTGCACTTTTGGACCCCCTCGCTCATTCGCTCGCTCATCCTTGATTGATTTCTGTTCTAGTTGATAAAGTTGACGCAGAAGAAATGCAGAATCAAACTACAGACCAGGTAATCGGCAAAGGCTCTATAACCGAGACCAAGTCAGTCAAAGTTAGCACAGCTATCCCACCAACACTATATAACCCAGACATTCCTCCTGCATAAGAACCCCGTATTTTACGTACCGTTCAGGCGACACCGAAGGGAAATCACTCTTGTTTGCCTCGGTCGTCTGGATCCGTAGCGAGGCCGTCAGGACGAATTGGCCGACTGTTGCTGAGAAGCCGGAGAGGAAGGCGTTGAAGGGCTGTTTTGTGAGACGACGACCATTAGTCAGCCAACGCTTGCTTCTCTTCTGCTGATGTTTCTTGTGTGTCTGTCTTTTGGCTTTCTTTCGATCCACCATTGAAACTGTTCGGGGAAGGGGGGGAAAGGATCGCGAGATACACCGGGTTGGGAAGGGGGGGTCTGTTGTGTTGGGACTGATGGTGGGAACCCTCGGAGGAGGCGAAAGAACGACGACGTACATAATTGCCAGCCAAAACACAATACAAAAACTGTAACCCGCCCACTACCACCAAGAATGCCATGAAGGCATCAAGCAGCTTGGTCCGCTGCGGCGTTGTGTCCTGGTAGTGTCTCAAAAGGTTGCTGAAGACTTTGTTCCATGCTTGTCCCCCCGCCGCCGCCGCCGTCTTGTCAATGTTGCTGCTGCTGCTCTTGCTAGTAGTCCCACTGGCTTTTGTGGTAGAGGTGCTAGTAGTGGGCTCAATCTGAGTGCTGGTAGCAAAGGCATTGGTTGTCGTGGCAATGGGAGGAGCGGAATCTTTGGGTTGGACTTTGGTTGTGACTGTTGCTGATGGTGTCGTCGAGGTTGCTGAAGGGGTGGGGGAGACGCCGCGGGCGGCCGCGTTCTTGCGCTTTCCACCCATTGTGTCGGATTGTTATGATTGTTTGGGGATTATGGAACGTTTCGATTAATTCGTGTGTCTCTGCGCTGTTGCTGGCAGGTGGTGTTGGTACGGGATGGTTGATTTGAAAATTCGTTGTCGCGATGTTGTTGAAGCTGTTATGGTGTTGGTTTGTGTAGGTACCTTGACGGGAGCTTCCGATTCCACACACTGCTCGCTGTGTCCAGTCGCTAAAACGGCCACGAAGCTTCATCTGGCTGTCATCATCGGGGACAGGGGTACAATACAGTACTTACGAAGGTCGCACACGCCCGCAATGCTTGTGTTTGTTGAACACTGTGGGGAGATATCAATTGGAACTGGCGCACGGGCCAGGCGGCATGGGTGGGGAGAGAAGGGATTGGATGGAACTGATTGGGGACCTGTTTCCAAGTCGATAGAGCGCTCCCATGCCATGCATAGGTCGTGGAGAATTGGTGTCGAGAGTGGAGCAGGGCCTTGCTTGTTCAACTTCACTTCAGTTCTCTGCAGAACAACATCCTATGACTGATCACTGCGAAAATGAGTTTGAGTTTTTGATGTGATTTGGTGTGATCTGGCTCAACATCAATCACGGGTATTGAGTTATAGTCTTCCTCTCTTCAGCTCACCCGGTTTTTGAATCTCGCGCACTTCTGCCGTCCGAATTCTCAACCTTCCGATTGGGGACCCTTTGTTGACTTACACCCCCCCGGCGACGACATCCACTCACAACTAACCACTATCCCTTACACCACAACTATCAACATACAATTATGGCCTCCATACTTGAGGTGTGTCACTTCCTCACCAAATCTCAATACCACAGTCTCAGGAATAGCTAACGGAAATACAACAATACCCAGGCCCTCCAGCCCCACCCAGAAGACCATCTCCACCTCCGTCTTCACCGAGCCCGCTCCGTCATTCTCACCAGTCAAGAGTACATACTATTTTCCCTCCCTCCCCTTCTCCCCGCCCTCTCTTCCCGTTTCTACCCACCAGCTCTTTCCAGTCGGCCAGTCAGTCCACCAGATTTATTAACAGTTAGGTCCCCAGACTAGTAGAAATCCGCGCCGCCCAACGGACCTTTGAAGGCGCCTACATGCGCACCGCCCTCTCACAATTTTCCTTTGCGCTCATCATCCTCAAGATCTTCACATCGGAATTCTACCCCATCGGCGCTTTGTTCGCTGTGTACGGAGCTGCAGTCATGTTGGTGGCAATCTATCGGCGATATGAAGGAAATCGACAATTTTTTGATCAGGAGGTGGAGGAGGACTTGGATGACGACGAACGGCATGGGACCGGGCCAGCGACAGCGACAGGGTTTGATGGACAGATGCGACAGGGTGATGCCGGGCTGGTAGTTGATGGAATGGGAGGAGGAGGACAACGGCTGGAAAGGAGAAAGACGGTCATGGTAGTCAAGAAAAAGTTTAGGACCAGCACGAATAGTGTGGCGTTGTTGACGGGGTTGAGTTTTGCGGCGTATGTTACGTTGATGGTGTTGTTGTGGGAATTGAGTCGATAAGATTAAGCTACGCCGCTTGGAAAAGCTTTCCTTGGATCACTTTGTTTCCCGTGTGTCTCGCGAATGATTTCATGCAAGTATATATAGCATTTACATGGCATTTCCTGTTTGGACTAAGCGCTCATATACATTATTTCGTGCGCATCTCTGCGGCAAGTCTGAAATGCGAAGCAAGTATGGTATCAGATTCCAGTGAAATAATCATGGGGATAATTCTTCCAGAGCAATGAAATAATTGCCATGAAAATGCCCGTTGATTACGTCGAGCCAAAACATAAATAAGTACAAAGCAAGAAGAAAAAAGGCAAGAAAAAAGTTGTAAAGCCAAACAAAAAGATATATAAGCCAACAATGAATCCAGCTATAATCCGTGTACCGCTGCAAATTTTGTTACCCGTCCCAGTCGCTGATCATGGTATGAAAAAACGGAAGTTTATCGCCTTGTTAGTTTTACCAGAATATTAAGAAAGAGAAACAAAAAAAAAAATGACAAAAACAAATTCTGAACAAAAGGAGAAAGTATTATCAAGTAACGGACGAACAAGACGCCAATGGCAATATCACCACGTGAGCAGCGCTTCACCAAATTGCTGCTCTTCTCTTCTCCCCAAGCCGTCAGGTCGTTCACGCCGTTCCGTGTGTCTATCCCGTCCCGCTTCCGTTAGAATTTCTCCGAGAAATATGGTCAAGTGTGAAGCAGTGGTAGAGGTCCATCCAGAAACTGTACCCGAGTCCTTGAACCAATGTCTGAAGTCTCCTCTTGCTCCGTCATTCCCTCTTTTTCGATTTGAGGACCTTAGATAAACGGTAACCCTTGTACGCACATTGAGTCGCATGACCAGCCAAGCCCACTTCAATTTGACGATGGTGGTTTCATGGCGGTTGTACTGGTCAAAAACTCGATCTCATCGTAACAAGATTGGGTAACCTTGTAAGATATCATCACGTCTCGGCCTGTCTCATGTGATGTATCTCGTGCCGCAATAACCCCATTCGATGTCACTGGGCACTCGGTTTCCCGATTCTCTCTCATGCATCTGAGAGTTCGGGGGGGCAAGCCTTTTGATTAGTGGGGGTTGACTGGGAACCTTTGTCGAGTACCACAGGGGAACGTCTTCAGCCGAGCCGCATTCTTTCCGCAAGACTGCCATTTTGCACCCAGAAAGGTAAAACGCGGATATCATGAATTGGTGGCCGTGAAACAGAGGTCTTGACTTTCCAGAACCCGATAGCCATCAGAAGATGTCTAGCAACCAAATTCAACCAAGCTTGAACTCAAAGTTGATTCTAACTCTGTAACGCACCAACTTGCCTGCCATTGTACTTCAACATGTCGTGGCCCGAATAGTGAGCCTTTGTTAGTGGGAATTCAACCCCTACATCCCATGGCCCTGCTGGTCTCCTCCTTCCCCATACCACGCAGAATAGCCTTCAGCAGGCTTGGAATACTGGTAAGGTTGCTGCCACGATGCATAACCGGTCGGGGGAACAGCTCCAGCTGAGACGGCCGGATGGGGATCCTGACTTGTTCCTGAGACGGTATCAATTCCAGGCATGATATTGGCAATTGGGGAAGGGTAGATATCACTGGAAATGGCAGACGACTTGCGATCGTAAGGGCGACCGCCACCGCCCGTTTGTGAGGCTGGGGGATATTGCTGGCTGGCTATGCCCTCACCGCCGCCGCCAAAAGACATGGAGCGAGAGGAAGGGACAGGGTAACCGGATGATGACCATGTTAACTCATCCCGCGAGGATTCGGAGCCCATGGATGTTGCTGACCAAGTGGCTGATTGGGGAGCGTGCGGCGTGTAGGGGGGGAAGGCGGGGGTGATGGGGGATTCACTCGTGTAGGATCTCCAATTCGGGTTTATATCGTTCGGTTTCGAAGTATTCGGACCGGCGTCATGGGAAATCCAGTTGGCCATGCCGTGATGGCCAAATTCGTAGGATCTAGTGCTTGTGGCACTTGGGGGAACTGTAAACTTGTCAGTAAGATCCACACCATGTCTGTTTGGTTTTTGACCTACTCTTGGGATCTGGGGTGTACTCTTCCCTACCCGAAGGCTTCATGGGGGGTGGCATGTTCGTGATTGATGCTAGTGACAAATGCGGATAACTTGAATGACTGTGAACTTCTGAGAGGGCCCCGCTCTGTATCGCCGGTGATGACGATGTGGACGTGATCTTAGGCCCAGTAGAAGACCGTTGTGCCGACTTTTGTCGGGTTTCTTGCGAGGGTTGTTGGTCCACTGGGTAGAAGGTGCATTCTTTCTTCAGGCGAATGCAGTTGACACATCGAGCCTGTACGTCGTTCTGGGATGGAATACACCTAATCTTCCTGCGACGACAATGTCCTGCATTTACGGTCAGTGCACACGCAAGAGTTACTTTGGTCTTGACTAGAACTTACCGCATGCAACAGATGTCCGATGATATCCTAGTTTGTTCCTCCTTTTCTCTCCTGAAAGCAGACCTTGGTCGGGCGTCGTTGGATCTCGCGGGGTGGGCGGCGGTTGACTTGTTTGCGATGCAGACATTGAACGCTTCGACTTCGTCGCAAACGGATAAGAGTCCGATCGATCTCTGCCCATATCCGGGCTGTGTCTAAGATCCATCCCTGAGGACCCTGGAGGCGGAACGGAATAAGGCATGTACCCGGAATGTTGGATATCCATATCTGTGCCGTTCTGTGACGGTGGCGGAGGATACTGAAATGACATCGTGTCTGTCATGGGTACTGACAACACAGCAGGATATATAGCGGAGTTGCCAGATAGCCAGCCTTCAACTATGGGTTTAACAAGGGGCAAATGGGCGGTTTCCATCAAACAATCCTGCTCTGAGTCGTTCTACTAGCTGAACGGCGGACTTCAGGGTTGCCGCACGTTTCAGCATCAAATAAACGAGAGATGGCGGGAGGCGGGTAATGACCGGAATTGCGGATGTAGTGATCTATCGTGACTGAATACCGTGGCTCTTCAATGATCGGTGCTGATTCTCCGCGTCTGGGGTAAGGGTATCTATGTGCAAACGCCTTGAGGAGAGGAATATGGTTAGCGGGTGGCCTGAGATGCCAAAACTTGGGCCATGGGTCAAAGCCAGTGGAAAGAGATAAGCATAAACTAATGTGGGTATTGGATATATGAAAGGGGAGTGCAAGAAGTACCTCTTTGAATAATCAGAGTAGATGAGCCGAAGAACATGTAGCGAGTAGGCGGGCCAATGAAGATGGCAAATTATTTGGTACTTCCGGAATAAGAGGACCAGAGAAATATGAGCGGCGTTGGACACACCCTTTTTCTGATCTTAGTTGGGCTGAAGGGCAGTAGCAGCGGCAACTCTCTGAGCGATGTTGATGCAAGGTGTTGACGCAGCAACAAGGAGTCGGGCTATATTCGATGTTGGATATTGCTACACCTAGATATGAGCTTGTGCCAACGGGAGGTGGAAGCATATCAGTGATCCGATGCGTCTACCTACCTTTAGGTATACTAGGGAAATGCGGGTGGTTCCTCGAGAAGCCGACGCCTGCTGACTGCAGTTGAGGTTCAGGGAGTTTTTCTACCGTGCTGAAATGCACAAGCGAGGAGATGCTTGGTCTGAAACCGGAGCCCTAAGATATCCCGTTGGTCGGGTTAAAGGCTTCACACCCCTGATGTGATAGTCTGTGTATATCGATGAAATATATTTATGTCCTAGCCAAAATATGGTCAGTAGTCAAGGTAACAGATTCCGTCGCCGCCGTTTGTGGACATTTCCCACCAGCTGGCGCTGGATGTTGTTTTAGAAGTTGTAATTCCGCGCTTCCAGGTTTTAGCAGAGGCGAAGAAAGAACTATTAGCCGCACGTATGATGGACGAGCGTATAGTGCTTGTGCGTTAAGATACTGCAATCGATGATGCCCAGCTGCAACTTGCAAGGGGAAACGGTCGAATCTGGCTGTGTGAGGGAGGGTTCCGGCAGGCTATGAGGCGTCGGCCACTTGCATATGTCAAAGGAGCCGCGCCAAGTTGAGCAATACTGGGATCTAGGCAGCTTCGTCGGCTAATCTGGTGTCGACTGCACAAGTGATTTCGCAGTGGTGGTCAGGAAGTACTCAAAAGCTGGGGCGCACTCAGCTTCAGCTAGATATCTGCTGGTACCATACCACGAGAGGTGCAACTCGCTGATCCTGGGAAAACGCACGAGCGATGAGCCGTGAGAAGGTCTTGATCATTCAGCTTGGCCGATTTCAAGCCGCTTTTCGTCGACTGAGGGGAATGTCAACCCTGCTTGATCAAAGCAACCAACTGAGGACGATGCGGGAGTGATATAACAGCTTCTACGCCACACAACACTGCTGGTTGCAGATTTGATGGTAGGCCGGGGTAAGCGACAGCTGGTATAAAGGTGGAATTGCTGATATGAAAAAGTATCGACGATCGACGAGCCCTGGCAGGCGCTTTCAAAAGTTGGATACGATTGGGAGATTAAAGGTGGTGTTGTGGTCTTTACGCTCTGCACTTTCCTTTCTTTTTCTGGACTGCTTCGTGGTTTTTGCCCGACTGTAGCGGCTGTTGAGATTTTGATTTGTAGGACTTTTGCAGCGAATGAGCTCTCGTAGCCAGATGCTGATCAGGAAAAGGCGTCTAAGGCTGAACGCTTATGGTTGATTGCTGATCAAGCGGTGGTTGAGGCTGGTGCTCGTATAATAACTCAATCGTTTGAGGTCGTCATAGGTCCGAGTGAATGTGTGAGGTTTGAAGGTAGGCTAGTTTTTTTGGGGAAAAAAAAAAGACGGACTTGACTTAAGATGATATGAAACGACCACGCGTTGACCAAGTAAGTAATGCAGCTTCATGCATCGAGATTGGTTGGAGAATGAGGGAGTGTTGGGATGTAAAGAACAAGGCAACGTAGGCCGAAACCTCAAAGTAAAATATGATGCAAGAAGGAGTGGCGAGACTGGGCAAAGAGACGACGCACAAGGGCAACGGGACAGAAAGGTCACATCAATTAATGGCCATGGAACATATTAAAAGCTCTTGTTCTTCTCTCAAATCTCTTTGTCCCCCTGGACCCCTCCGATCTTCGCACAGTCATTCTGCCACTGGCAACGTAAAAGAAAATGGGCAAGGAAAAGTGCACTGCACTGCAAGTGTGAATGCTGTTGGGGCTGGAGCATGCCAGACAATGAAGCACCCGGACATGGAAGGAACCCAAAAATGTCTTCAGGCAATCATAATTCAAGGGCAGAAATTGAGGAAGTAACCCGAAGTTTGTATCCTCAAACGGTTTCAAGGGCATGTTCCAGCCAAAAGTTCGGGTGCTCGGTCAACTCGACATGCCTGTGACTTTAATATCAGTTACTGCTAGCTTTCAGTGCCATGAAGCAAAAGTAAATTGAAGGCAATCGTCCGTTTAGACCTACGGGTCTTCCCACCCCAGGTCCTCGCATGACGCGGATGGTATGCTCTTTCAAAAGCGGTCTAAACCACAATACTTACCTTGGAGCGGCGGAGGCTGCCTTCGTCTTTGCCCACTTCCCTTTGAACAGTGCTAAAGGCTGAAGCACCACACTCAACCCCCCCGGGTCAGCCATCGGGCCTTTCGGAAGGAAGAACACTATTTCCTTCCATTGCTTCCACCACTAACTTGATTAACAGACCTGGACTTCCCAGACTCCGGTTGTTGTTTCGAGGAATGCAGCACCTCTACCGAGCACCACGGTAGGCCGCACTCAACATCGATGCCATATTGGTGGACTCATTGATGTTTGGCAAGAAGTTTGTACATGCATGAGGTACCCTTCCTATGGTTGACAGCCATCCTCTAATGCCAGTCTCGTATCCTTGCGCGCGCATGTAAGTACCTGTACGCAGCTGCCCGGGACTGCAAGGTACCTGAGAACGCAGACTTGGTACTTGGTGTCTCAGGCACAGTAGGAGATGCTTGGTCGGTTGTACTTGGCTAGACCCCTTTCCTGCGTATATCACTGGAATGATTTGACCAAAGTGTTGTTGCCTTCTGCCCCTCTCTCCACTTATCGAAGCTTCTTTGTTGCCACTAGGCCCGGCCCAAAGAAGACGCTGAGATGACATGCATACCTAGGATGCTTTAGTGCAGCTTTGTACCCTTGTTGACCGCGGTCAGGATCATGCGCGAAAGAGTGGCATCTAGCGGGAAGGGTAGGGTCCCTCGTGAACAGGATCGGATCTTGGAGTCTGAGATTCCGACATTGGAAGATGATCATATGGGGAAAGCTTGTGATGCTGTGTTGATGCTGTCGGGTCTCTCATGATGAGACCCAAATAAGGACCAGCAAAGAACCGAGAGCCTGTGAATAGTGGCCACGAACGTTTCGTATTGGATGCCTACGCGAGGCCTGCGTGTCGGAGCCTGACCTCGGTTCTTTGTTGGACAGTCGGATGAGTTACAAGGACATTGTCCAAGAAGGTTTATCGTGGACTTTGTGTCGAAAAATGCGCCGCTGCCAGGCTCAAAAAGCCCGCTTTATCCCTGGCAGGTCCGTGCAAATAAATGTCAAGGATCACATACCTGTGACTGCCATGATAGGTTGAGGACTGTCTGAGCCCTGGGATCAGTCCCGTTTGGAGTCAAGCGTCTGGTAAAAGCCACACCACTTGTAAGGATGCCAAGAATGCGTAACCCCCCTCGTCCGCCATCCTCGGCCTCGTTGTTGCAGTTGGAGGTGTCCTTCGTTTGGGAAAAGATTATTCAATTCTTTCACTAGTCAGCCAAAGCGTCATGCTTGTGGCTTCGTTAATCGTCGACTTGCACCCATCTCGTATTATGCCGAGGTTGATTTGCGCCGGGACGGATATCAGTCTGGCTACCTATTCTCTGTCTGGAGGGAACACGATCCGTCGGGGAAATGCCATGCTGGGCCGGAGTTCTTATCAGGGCTTGTTGATCCTTAGCAACGTGGCAGAAGAAAATTTACCATGGTACCTGATGCGCTTTTTCGATTAGTACTTTCATACATGTCTCTTTTTTAGCCCGGGCCAGACTGGTAACGAGTGTCAGAAAGGTCGACCGTACCTTGCATCAGCTAGTTGAAAGGGTGAAGACATATTTGGTGTCTGCCGTAGCAACAGTATGGGGCCTGGTATCCGGAAGAGACGATGATATTAGCCAATGTCGCAGCTTTTCCGGATTGCTCTCTTCCTCTCCTCTTTCATGAACCGGTTGCTCCAGCTGCAGTGCGACACAGGACTGTAGCTGCGATATTGGCTATCTGGCACTTGCGCAGTGATATGGCAGATGCTGCTATCGCTGAATAAGACTCAAGCTGGTATAATGCTGGCTAATATATAGCGCTACTGGGTCGCATTGGGAGCCATGGAAGCCTCCCTGCGATCATGTAACGCTATATGGGCCGCATCCCCGAAGGGTCGTCTTGATGGGCGCCTGGGGGACAATGTTGCGAGATTGAAGTTTTCCAGACCAGGTCTAGAAGCTGTTGCTGCTGGGCAAGCGGGTGTGGCCTATATCGTCAGAGGCTTGGACTAAGAGACCGGTGAGCGACATCACGCTATCTTTCAAGCAGAGTCCATGACTTGGGCAGTAATGCTTAACCACAACGCTCAGCATACCCGATATCAATCCCAGCCTCTCAGTCTGTGTAACAAGCTTTTGCATCCTGGAAAACCCGTCAACCAACGGTCCCAGCAAAGAGATATGTCGATGCTTGGTAGGCTACCAGACAGTGTCAGGACGGGGGAAATGGAAGCCCAAACACAACGATGACGTTTCATTACTGCGTACCTCTAGTCTAGGGACCTGGGGATGTCTCTGTTCTGACATGTGGGAATATGGATCAGCCCGGATCTCGCAATATGTACTAGCGCGCTTGTTGCAAGCAGTGTGTCGATGGGAGGTTGATCGTCGTCAGGGTCCGATTGACAGCCAATCATCCATGTGTCGGTCGGGGACAATGGCTGCTTGGATACGCTGGTTTAAATGACGTGCGAAAAGGGCCGGTCTGAGTGTCGTTCCGTAGTGTACACAGTACAGCGCAACCGGACAGCCGCCCATGTTCTATTGCCAGGATTCGTAATAGTTGGTGGGTGACTCGGAATAATGCTGCCGAAGAATGTACAGTTGAAGCGATCGATGACTTCACTATTCATACAGGATTGAAGAGAGAGAGATCCTCTCAGAGAAGTGAAGTCGGCAACTGCCTGGTCACGGTGTTCCCGCTGGCTCAGTGCAGTCTGCCTGCCGCCGGCAAAGCACGTACCCAGCTGCGGGAAAAGAAACGAAGCAAAGGCCAACGAACAAGTAAGAGGTACATGTGCACTCATTTAAAGGCGTAGAGGTACCTTAAGGTGGAGATTGCTTGGGCATCCTGCTTCCACTTGGTTGCTTTGCACCTGCCCTGTGCGATATCTCGACTCCGGCCCGAATCGGACATGGAGAATGTACGAACTACAGTACTCTTTCTCTCCCTGATTTCTCGACAACTTCCCTTCATCTCACTTTTCAAAATTTCACAGCAATGGCTCAAAAGGTAGGTAGCGAGGTGCTCCTGCCTCAGGGAGTCAAGACCGCCACCCCGACAGGCGAATGAATTGGATGCCGGTGTGACGCAATGTCCATCGTTGGTGAAGTCCAGAATTCGATGTGGGGTGACACCCAACGAGGACACTCAACCCTCAAGCCTCGACATAAGTTCTACTGGCTAAATCAACTGTCGCTACAGTATCTTCCGTTGGAAACGAACATCTCTGCATTGCTGCTATCCATCAACTCTGTCGAAAGGAAACATGCGTCACCAAGACTTTCGGGTCACTAGCAACGTCTTTCCACTCTGATAATAACTGGGTCCGGACCTCATCACGGATTGACCAGAGGTAGTTATTCCCTCGTATGTAGGGCGAGCCCGACATAGCCGGCAAGACAGTGAGACAACCAAAACACTTGATTATACTAGACACATCTAGATATGTACATCCACATCCACATCAGCACAACAGCAGGCGACGGGTAATCCACCGAATCCTCCCGCAAAACGCGACCCTGTAACGGCTATCGTGACGCTACACAGCCTGTCCCGCTCAGCCCTAGCTGTGTCGATGAGGGCGGCACGCTTAGCTTTGTCCACTTGCCGCTGCGGCTGGTTGCCAGCTCCGGTACTTGCGAACATTATGTCTAGACGCTCTTGCGCGCTTGTGGCCGTTAGAAAAAAAAAAAAATGTAACGAGTCTCGCTAATAGTGACGAAAGCTCTAGGACCTGATGTTGGTGATATTTCTAAACGAAAGCACCATCGACCGCCTCTGGCTATGGTCAGATCTCGTAAGTCCACTCACTTTGGTCCTTGGGCATTTGAGCGGTTTCCTGCACGGCCATACAAACGCTTCCATATCGTCGGATTTTCGGTTCACCTTCCTCCAGCGTGTGGCAGACGAGTCTTGGCAATGACAAGGGTTCGCTCACGACTTTAACACGTATGTTTTCCTCTCCCATTGCTCCCTCGCACATTATCCAGTAACCGGCAACCAAGCATTGCATTTCCGATCAAGCGAACCTTCTCAGTCCAAGATCCCAGCAATACACTTTCCGTTATACATCTCGGAACCATGCAGCTACATGTGTCTAGCCACGGCCATGGATGTCTAGCGGCGTCCTGGTTTAATTACACCACCTTGTCGCTGGAACAACAATACTAATACATTTTCCCTTTAGCCAAAATTCCCTTATACATGCTCACAGCCATACATTTCCAAGGTGATTAGGCCACAAACTGCCTCTGAAAAGCTGGTGGATGGTCCGTCTAACAGCGCGGGCATTGACTTTGCGCAGGTCAATATCGTATCTAATCTACCTCTGCGCTGACGATGGTCGCCGTTCCGGAAGCAAATGCCAAAGATTGGAATCTTGCGTCATGAGGAGCATACTTGGCACATTTCGAAAACATTACCAATGTACAAACTGTTGATACTCTCCGAGGCTTTGCAGCAACAAAGCACGAGAGTGGTCGAGCTACTTATCCGTCGACTTCCATTCCACAGCCCCTACATCCTGAGTCTGGGGTTCTAGAATCCTTCCCTTTTTATGCCGGAAATTCTTCCTGCGATTGCAGCAGAGCTAACAGGAATTGCGGCGAAAACAGCGAACTAACAATCCGCTTCCACTTGCCTCAAACTTGTTACATCGCATGTTGCCTTCGCGTCTCCTGGGCCATTAGATGAAACGCTACCTGACCTACGATGCAATCCTTTGTCGATAGACACAACCAAAGCCGAGGCACCAAGATGACAGTCTAACACAGTATCTTACGAGCCCACTACAACTCACAACCACTGCACTGTATATATGTCCTATAATCGCGCTATCATGGGATACTTTGCACAACCGGCATAGATTTTGGCTGATGATGACTGAATGGGTGAGAGTCATAAGAAGGAGGTCCACACAATCTACGACTCCGAGTAGTCTTGACGATAGAGCTAACATGCTCGAGACAGGAGCCACATTTGAACGCCTCATCATTCAACAGCTACGGAAACTGTAATTAGGCAGCCAGGCGCCAACCTTTCTCGGTCCCGAACTTCATTTTGGCTGCTTTGCAGTCGTCAACCAACAATAGATGCGTAACACCGGGGCAAACACATTCCGTAGAACCCTCAAAGAACCTGCGAACTTGCGAATGGGATCATAAATTATCTCCATTTGTAGCATTTCATGCGAACCACAATTCGCCCTGGGACATGGCAACAACAATATTGCGTCAATAGGGAGTGGTGGGCTGGTCCGGGGTTACCTATGAGTATTCGAAGGGAGACGTAGGTATGATTAGACGTAGAAGTTGATTGTCAAACGCCGCCGACAGTGTCAACTTTGTCCAGGAGATCCAATTTCCTCCGCACCAGTAACTCCCCGACAGTGGTAAGTCTTGTTCCCTTCCCACCTAGCCTCTCCTCGAGTTCTCCTAAAGACACTGAGTTCTCGCCTACCATCCCTGGATCTACTACGGCGCCTCATATGCTGCCACCATCGGTTTCTGGATTGAGCGATTGTACCCAGGTGTCTTCCAAGCCTTCCACCTCACCAGCGCCATTGTGTAAGCTGATACAGACAAATGGTACTACTACGATACCATCCGGCAGGGGATCGATGCACTTCCCCACGGCCGAGAACGGCGACGATTACGGTAGTACCAAGGGTAAAACGACGAAGATTTTGACTAAGAAAATGGGGGGGTGGGGAAGGGTGAGGGAGAGAGGAGGGTTATTCAACTAATGGGCGAGTTTTCTAAGCCTCCCCTACCCAACACAATGCCCACGTCGTTGTCGGGTCAGAAACAAGTATTGATTGATAACACATGGTAATGTACCTCTTAGGTTACTTGGATGTATTGTTCCGCATGATGAGGCTTGATGAAACTGAAAGTGCAAAGCAACAAGTAATTATAAGTAAGCTACCAAGATATTATGTAAATGTCTCCTCAAGGGTGCCAGATCTGCCACTTTTCGACGGCAGTCCTCTCCCAAAGTCAGAGTGTATGACCACGAACCCTCTGATAAGTGTCCCAACGAATGCGAAAAGAAAAAAGAGTGACAAATAAAAGAAACAAAACAAAAGGGAAATATGTCGCTTTTGGGGACCACCGTGTATGTTACTTGTAAGTACAACAAGTACATCCTCCAGATACAATTCCCAAATCCAGAGCCTACCAAAGCTCGTCGTCACCTGGTCTGCTGATCAGTCACTTCCTGCCCGAGCGGGCAGCGTCCGCAGCGCACCAGCGGCATCGCCAACGATGGGACCGGAAACCACAGGGGCAGCAGTTTTTAACGCTCGGCATCAACAACCTCCTCAATCATCCCTGACCGCACTCTCCACACCCTCGCCAAGAAGCCCAGTCAGATCAACCACAACGCCCAAGTCCAAAACGGGCAACTTCTCACCCCTAGGACCGACAAACCACAAGCAGTTGTCTACGGTAGTCGTGCGATCGACAGTAACGCCCAAGCAATCCCTGATGTTCAACAGCTCGAGACTAGCGCGGATAGCATCCTGTTCGCAGCGCTGGATGCACTCCTCGATTGCGGAGCTACCACCAGAGTTGTTGTCGCCGTTGCCGTTGCCGTTGCCGTTGCCACCATCAGGCCCGTCAGTGTTGTTGTTGATAGGGATGGTCGTGGTGTTACCACCGGGAAGCGAACCAAGCGAGGTACCGCAGGGCAAAGTGCGGAAGCGAGAGACTTGCGTGGTGGGCAGGTTGGAAGGAGAAGCAGGACGATTGTCGGCTCCTAGCAGGTTGCTGACGGAATCCAACAGAGAGGAGACGCCGGAGGTGAGGGAGGAGAGGTCGAGGTAGAGCTTGAGGTCGAGGTCAAGCAAGTCGGCGAGGGTGGTGGAGATGGAGAGGAAGGGGGGGAGAGGGCACGAGGTGGTGGTGGGTGTGGGGAGAGAAGTTCGGATGGCGGTGGTAAGGGTAGAGAGGGTGGTGAGGGTGGTGGTGGAGGAGGGGCTGGGGTTGTTATTGCCGGAGCCGGGACCGTTGTTGCCACTGCCCGGTCCATTGTTACCGGAGCCGGGACCGTTGTTGCCATTGCCCGGTCCATTGTTACCGGAGCCGGGACCACCGTTTCCGGGACCACCACTGCCGGGACCACCACTGCCAGGACCACCACTGCCAGGACCGCCACTGCCAGGACCACCACTGCCAGGACCACCAGGTCCAGAAGGAGATCCAGTAGGGATAGGCATAGCCGTCACGAGTCCTTCCTCATCGCAAGTGGTAGTGACAGGCCAAACAGAACCGCCTGCTCCAGGACCATGAGTATGGTCGCTATGAGGAGGAACAGTGACAGTAGGACCAGAGACGGTTACATAAATGGTGGAAGGCTGAACGTCAACCGAGTGCGGCTGGTTGGGGGGGACGCCGATCTCGATGGAGGCGCAGTCGGGGAAGAGGACGGTGAGGTCGATGCGGCAGACATTGTCGGCTGCCGCGAGGACGGAGAGGGAGGGAAGACGGGGAATGAGGTTCAAAGCCATTTTGAATTGAAATCAAAGGAGTGTTTTGTTGTTGTTGGTGGTGTATCTTTGAAAGAGTGAAGGTAGTGAAGGAAGAGAAGAGGTTGAGAGTGATGAGGAGTAAAAGTCAGGTCGATGATGGGCTGCTCATCGAGTGTTATATAGACTTTTGAAGGGTCGCCAGGCGATGAAAGTTTTCGCCCGGTGCGATGTTGTTGAGGCTATCACGCCTTGCTTCTTCTCCATGATCCAGATCTCGCCCTTCGCTTAGGGTGGTCAAAGCAGTCTCCCCTTTCTTTCTTTCTTTCTTTTTTTCGGAGGGTTCGCAGCCGAGCAACTGGCGGTATGTCTTGAAAGCTCACGGTTTGTCTGGTCAACCATGGTGTATACTAATCTCTGAATGCAGGACGTACATTAGTGCCAGGCGTCGAAATGTGAGGGTGGTTGACTTCGGAGATTTTCTCGCCTAGACAGTGTTGGGAGGAAACAATGGCTTTGCTTTTTGACTTCGCCTCACGGACGTTCAGTGTTCAGTCTCTCAAGAACAATTAGATGCACACATTTGTCCCTTGTCACAGGCCAAAATCCCTAGCAAGCCAACAGGGCGAATGTCAAGTCTAAGTGTCTCATCGTCTTCTCGAATCCGTGCTTGGAAAAGGCAAGTTTCCTAGATTTTGCTATCCAAACGGCATCGTGAGCAAGGCAACGATAAAGGGAGTATGGTACGGTCTGGGCAACAAACCACGATAATTTGGTGACCCAAAAAGTCGGTTGGAGAGAGTCAAAACATGCAGTGAGTTGTCTCATCTCACGAATCACAACGGCTTGGTGACCCGAAAAGTCGGTTGGTGAGAGACAAAACATGCAGCTGTCTCATCCCTACCCGTTGGGGAAGGGGGCCAGGGGTAAGTCGAGGTAGGGCTATATACAAGCATCAACTAGCGCAGCCACGCTCCACGTTGTGGTGTTCAGCAGTGCAAGCACTCAGGCTGAGACAGCGTTTTCAAAACAAGGAAAAAAAAAGACAAAAAAAAAAAAAAAAAAAGAAAAGGAATTAAAGAGGAGAAAAAAAAGGAGAGAAAGAAAGAAAGAGGGCGTGTATTTTCTCCCACACAATACACTTTCAGAAATCCAACTCCTCATAGGGGTAACTGTGAGAAGCTATCTACGGAACGACAAGCCTACACTGACTTCAGACGTTACTATGGACTTCGCTTTTTCAGAGCAAGTCAATCCGTCCCGCCTTGACTGCTTGAATTGGGCGCGATCAAGACAGGAGCTCGTTATACATACACTAGTTCTCAAGTTCGGCTCAAACTTGGTCTAGTTAATGTTCTGATTAGTGTAAGAATGATTATCAGACCGACCTGGAATACCTATTTTCGTGTGCCAAGTGCCCAAGTGGAAGTCAGACATCCCACAATAGCTTGGCGGACCGGCCGCTACTAGAAGAGAACCCCAAGAGTTCGTCCATCGAAGCTACAAGATTCAAGGATTTTCAATCTCGGTCAAATTTTTGGTGATGGCTTGCTTCTTCTTCCTCTGGTCTCTTATAAGCAAAGTCAAAGGTTCTACCCCCTCCGTATCAGCATTAGCGAGAACTCAATCACCAAATTTCTTTAGCGACCTCAGCAACTCGGAAAACGTAATTGTAAAGGAAGTTGGACTTCTTTCTGCTTTCAAGATAGTTGACCATGGCAATGACGAGTTGGCACTTTCAGATCCCTCGACTATAGAAACGATAGAGAAAGAAGATCGTGGCTCATTCTCGTGCATTTCTATCATCTTGGTGCCTGCCAGGGTCGAGAAACCGGCCTTGCGGGGCCATTCAATTCGCGGGGCAGGGAGCCCAGCTACAGCCGCAGTTCGAAAACTCTGGCGATCTCATTTTTCTTTTTCCTGGCGACCTCTCCCTTGCGCGCTCTCTATGCAACGGCACCACGATCCCCTGAATAGCATCAGCTGCATCTCTCGACACTAACGCACAGTTCGAAGCTGGTGGTAAAACATGCATGGGCTCAGTGAAGCATCCTAATCTTAAAAATAAACAAAACCTATCAATTGGCCTCCAACACCGTAATGTAGCGCTATGAGATGGGATGACCAAAAATTCCCCATATCGACGGCCAAACCTGTTAGTCTCATGAACAACAAGAAAAACGACATGATGGTACGCTTCCAAAACGTTGAAAAATGCTAAACGGGGGGTTGAGAAGAATGGAAATGTTGAGAAATGCCCAACGCTATTGCTGGCTCTCCGTCGGCCAACACCCTCCTCCTGAAAAAATGCACAACAGAACTGAATATCCTTTCGACGTTCCCTTGCTCCTACGTATCGTTGAACTGCAGCTTAGACCTCGCCTCACTCGCAAGCAAATCATCGTCACATGTCTTTTGGACATGCTTCTCGTCAGGCTTTGTCGCCTCTGGGTTGTCACCCTATGCAACTCGAGCAGCAGACGGTTTAACTCCTCGCCGTCCGAGCAGAGTGGCGCCATCCAGATTGAGCTCGAATGCACCCTTTTGTCGGTTGCGTTCGCGAACCTGTTGTCTGGCGGCAGCCGTGACAGCTGCGGAGTGTTGACCATAGCCCCTTTGTTCAGCGGCCGCTGGGGGTGGGTGAGCCTTCCTCTCGCGGTCCCTACCGCGTTGCTCCTGTTGTTGATCCCTGATTTGGGCATTGCGCATGCTTTGCTCAAGAGATGTATGGTATTGCTTGCCATTTACGACATCATGCATAGCAACATCCTCTCCCTCGTCGGAGTTCTCGTCGAGGCCTACCAGACGAGACACGCCCGCCTTGGCTCCGAGGTTATGACGTCTCTTGCCTTCTTCCTCTTGGCGATGGACGGCATAGCCAACGTCAAACACTTCGCGCAGATTGACAGCACCTGGAGAACGGAAGTCATAACGTCTGTCTCCATCCACAATCTTGGATGCATCGAAGGCCCGCAGCACACCGTCTGGGTTCTTCCGCTCGTCTCTTGGCGTAGGACCCGAGCCGGCAATCCAAGGATGCGCGAGGAACTCTGTGATCGTGTAGCGCTTCTCGGGATCGACGCACAGAAGATGCGAGATAAGATCCTGGGCGGATTTGCTGATATCGTCCCACCATGGCGAAAGGAAGGTATACTGGCCCTTGGCAACCTTCTCCGTCAAGACCTCAATGCTCTCATCGTAGAAAGGTGGGAAGCCGCAAAGAAGAGTGTAGAGAACGCAACCCAGCGCCCACATATCGACGGCCTTGGAGTACCGCTCATCCTTGACGATCTCGGGTGCTGTATACCCGACAGTGCCGCAGGGAGTCATGGTTTGTTTGTCCCAGACGATCTTGGATAAGCCGAAATCGGCTATCTTGATCTGACCAATCCCACCAGAACCTACGCCTTTGATGAACTCGCCCTCGTCAACTTTGTCCTCATCACCTGGCTGCTTGGGTTTCGGGTGCTTCGAGGGGATAAATGGAATGGGGCTGAAGAGGATGTTTTCAGGCTTGATGTCACTGTTCAAGGAGTGAGCAGAGATTCACTAACGATTGGCACGATGATGTGGGTCAACTTACCGATGGACTACACCCTTCTCCTCGTGCAGATACTCCAGAGCCTTTGCTACCTGTGTGATAACGTGCCTGGAGAGATCCTCACTAAAGTACGTCAGACGCACAATCTGGTGGAACAGCTCGCCGCCAGGTGCCAGTTCAAGAATGATGTAGTAGTATTGGCGAGACTCGGCGAAGTCGACAAGCTTGATGATGTTGGGATGGTCAAGCTGGCGCATGATTTGCACCTCTTTCAAGATATTGGCTCGCTGTTCACAGTCATTGTTAACTCATCAGAACATGAGCAGGCGGGCACGTCCCTACCCCATTGCTTGATCGGGGTAAGGACAGGTCGTCAATAACAAAGCAGTCGAGACATATGAGGAGAGGAGAGTACATTGAAGACCAACAATGGAAATAGACAAAAGAGAAATTTCTCGCACCTCTGCAGCCTTTGGTGCCTTTGGCTTGAAGTCCGGATGGAGATGTTTGTTGCTCTATAGTGAGCCCTGGAGGTTGGTATTGAAACCTTATAAAACGGCAAAGACAAAAGGAAACGAGGATGGCGAAGATGAAGAAGAGGGCATCCCCGGTGTGCTGTCACGTACCTGCATGTTATTCATTTCAAACTTGCGAACAACTTTGATGGCTACTTCGCCCGCGTTACCCTCCAAATCCCGTGCGCGGTAAACGTTGCTGAAGGCACCGTCGCCCATCTTCTCGACGAGCTCCCATCGCTCAAGGCCGGGGTACCTGGGAAATTTGCTCTTGCTTGCGTTTTCTTCCGCAACAAGCCTGACAATATTCTCGTCGGGAACCTTGGTCTTTGACTTGGACTTGTGTGCTAGGTTTTGGTCGGCCTCGGCATAATGGGCAGCGGCATGGCCAGCCTGCGCGACACGGTTGTGGCCGTCAACTTGCGTGTTCGAGTAGGCATCTTGAACGGGCGCTTGGTGGTTGCGTGGCGGAGAGCCTCCCAGGTTGGGTTCTGAGACAGGGGCCGCCATCTTTGTGGGCTGGTGATGTTGTGTGGCAGAGTGGTCGGCCTGTTTTGTCCGCGCCGGCTCTTCAGGGTTTGCAGTGCGGGCTTGCTTTCCTGTTTGATTGAGGCCGATATTAGCTTGTGACTCTTTGCCGTCGGGAAGGGAGGAGTGGGCGTGAGGAGACGGTAGGTGAGAGGCACTGAGCGCGGGCAGGTGCAAGCAAGCATCTCAAGCAGACATACCGTGTCGGATGAAGTTCTTCAACTGTTGTATTGTCGACATTTTGTCTGATATTATTTGGGCTTCTTGATCAGATGGCGATTTGGTTGAGGTTTGTGAGAGTTGGCTGGTGAACAGCGGTGGCAGGATGCACCTGGATCCTCGCCTTGGTGCTGAGCTGGTGTTGAGCAGAGCTAGTGAAATTAGGTGGACTGTTATTCGCAATTGGGACTATGCGTCGTCACAATATCAATAGGTTGCCGAGAATGCGCAGTGAAGGACTGTTGAGTGTCTCGAGTGGTGCCCTGCGGATTTCCGTGCAGGCGGTCGTCTGCGGGGTCGGGCAGTGTTGGGCGGGATCAATGTGCCGATTTGCAAAGGGCGATGTGGAGAGATGAGCACGGAGGTGCTATGGTAGGGTGAGCGCGGCTTGTAGGTGGAGGACAGGACGTTGCTGTCTCTGGGCTGTAAATGGTTTCCGGGTCGGAATGGAAAGAGTTGAAAATGACGATCGCAGACACGCGCGCTGGTGTCGAGAAGATATTAACCGTCTGTCGGAAGTCAATGACGATGGAGGAGGAATGGGCGGTAGAAGGGTACCTCAGCAGTCAACAGGAAGGCTTGACTCGGGGCAAGCGGGCGCTACTATTGGCTGGAATTGAGGTCACAGTGGCTGCACGACCGAACCAAGGAATAATTTGCAAAAGGAAGTGACGCAGTTGTCAAGTCCGCACGTGAACAGAAGGATGATCCTGGAGCCTGGACGGGGTTTCGTTATAATGCAGTGAAAAGGGCGGACGATGCCGACAAAGGACAGTTCTCAGTCAGATGCTGGTCGCGCGGAAGGCAGATTGACTGTGTGCAGTGGTGCTTGGTAAGGTGGGGGAAAACAGGATGGAAAGGGCGACGGGGCATGGAGGGGTTTTGTTCTTATTTTATTACCGGGACTGGGAGTGACCGGGACCTACAGTCAAGTCTGCAATTAACGATATTTGGTTACCCCCTGGATCTGATCGTTATTCCCAGATTATCGTTACATCAAGATTTTGGTGTAAAATTGTGATTTTGAGCCAGAATTATTGTTTTTACATTATTTTAAGTCAGAAACTACTGAAAATGGTGTATTTGATCTAGTAAACGTTGCCTATACAGATTTATATAGTTTACTATTTCTTAAAGTATAAATTTAGTATAGTTTGAGGTGCGTTGAATTTTTCAAATAACGACTAGTCAACTAGTCTCTTCTATGCCCGTTAAAATAAAGCTATATCTACTAAATTAACTATTATTAACTACTCCTCATACTAGATAACTATTGCGATAGCTTCAAGCGCGGCTACCAGCAATACAGCAAGTAATTCTTACTATTCTAATTAGTCATCGTTATCCTCTCCTATCACCAGTGAAAAGGTTTCAGCTACGTAGGCAATAAAATCATTTAGGTTATCAATAATAGCCTTATTTAGAGGGTTATTAAAGTTATTAATATTTATTATAGCTTTAATAGTCCTAATACGCACCAGACTCTCTCCCAACCTCATTATTTCATTAAAATTTATATCGGTAGAGGAAGTTTCTAGAATTTATTATACTAGCGTAATAATAGTAATCTTAATACTATAGTAATCCTCGTTAATAGTCACTAGGTTAACCCGTTCAATTAGCTTCTTATTAGGACCTTGAACGGCGCTAAATAGAATAGACTTCCTCTAACAATTATCAATTGTAATAGTAGTAACCTTATTCTACTAAATATCAATAACCTAATAAACTACTTATAAAATAGTAGTATTCTTAAAGGGATTACGGCCTACTAATATTAAGTTAACCATATATCAAAGCCAAAGCTTCCTATAATAGACTTTTATATTATTAATAATCCCTTAATCTATAGGTTAATACAAGGAGGTAGTATTAGCGGGTAGAATAACGATAATAATATTACATAAAATATAATCTCCGTTACTCTCTTAAAGCTGCTTGAGTATAGAAGTATAAGCGTTGAATCTATCTATTAGAAGGAACACTTTTCTACCCTCTATTTAGCGATCGAACTAAAATAAATATTCAATAAAAATAACTACTATTATCCATACCTTCTCTTTAAACCACTATATAAAAAGGAGTCCAGCAATATATCTACTATCTTTACCGAAAGTATAAAGGTTTTTAAAGTAATTAATAATCTAAAAATCAAACTTATAACTACTTAATATAATAATAATTAGTATAACCGTAATATAGTTCTTCTTCTTCTTACTACCTAACTATACTTAGGTAGCGAAAATAAAATTAAGAGTAAATAACTAAAAGAGGCTAATTTCATCTACATTATAAATATTATTAGAAGGATACTACTTAATAATCTATTTAATATATTCGACTTTATCGATGGAGCTGCTAACGTTGGCAAATCTTAATTCCTTAAATTACTTATATTATTTAATATTGTAATGGCGTTTAAATCCAGCTAATTAACCAATAAAGAACTTCGGTTCGTTAAAGGAATTAAAATTGGGTATTAAATTCTATAGCGCTTTAGTAATAGCTTAGATTATATCTCCCGTAATTAACAACTAAGAACCCTCTATACGAAGCACCTATTCGTAAAGCGCCTTTTTAAAGATAGAAAAATCGGCCTTATAAATTTTAGTAATACCAACGTAACCTCGAACGAATATTTTTATATTAAGATAATCCTATTTAAATTTAAGGGACTCGCTAATAGTAGACTAGCTAATCTTATAGCCGAATTTGCGAATTACCTAGGTAGCTATATTATATTAAGTAGTAGTAATGTGCTTTGTATATTGGCGGATAGTTTATTGCTAGAACTTACTAAGGGTATAGTAATAAGGGCCGACGTTTTTCGAAAGCTTAAATATAGTAGAGTATTGAATATAATAATTAAGGGATATATTAGTAGAGTTATAGAGTGATCTGTAAGTTAAGGAAGCTTATTAATAATTGAAATAGGTAATTTTTGAGCAATCTATTAATATATTAGCAAAAGAGGGGAAAGGGAGGGTGGAGAAGGTTATACCTAATTAAACTGGCCTAATCTATATACTGGGCAGTTGCATTAAGACTGGGCAAAAATAACGATCAAACACTAGATTATGTGTATTACTAAGCAGAATTTTGATCGTAATCTCAATACAGAATATATCGTTATGCTACTAAAATCTCCATATAAATGGAACGGTGGCGGTGAAATTGAACGTTATAGCCAGATTATCGTTATACCTCGTATCGTTAATTGCAGACTTGACTGTAGTCGGGTGGAGGGTGTGTGGTGTGTTCCTTTTTTCTCGCTCGTCCCTCTCGGTTTCATCATTTCTTTCATCATCGGGCGCATACCACGCATTACTACACTACATCAGACTATTATCCATGCTGCCATGCCATATGCCATTCTACCTACCATTCAAGAGACCAGACAGACTCCTGTCTAGACCGCAGCTGTTGAGCCTAACCGGACCCACGAGGGGCGGGCACGATACTTGAGTCGATGTTCAGTCCCGCCAGTCAGTCGAGATGGCACAAACCGCTCATAGCCACAGACGCTACCTGGAGTTGAATACGGGCCTCAAATAACTACTTTTTTTTTTCTTAGCTCCTTTGACCAGAATACCATGTCTACACTAGAAGGAGCCACCCTCGTCCGAGACAAAATAGTTGAGACCAACCAACAGGTTAGGAGGTTAGGTAAAACAGTCTGCTACCGCTCGCCGAGATGGAAAGACTGTGATAGGGATTACAACAATTCAAAAAAAAAAAGACATCTCATCGGCTAGAGTCCCATTTGGATATTTCTATCCAGGAATTGTCTAGAACTCAAGATCAGAGGTGCAACAAAGACGCTGGATGCGTAGTAGGAGTATACCCAAGGTATAATGTCCAAGGTCTCAACTATTTTGGCCAGGACGAGCCGCCCTTGTTTGTCGGCGGTGACCGCGCGTGATGGGGATTGGGACGGGTTTGAACGATGGGATTGGGCACAAAGCGCAAGATGCTGCCTCTCACTCTCGAGCGCTGTTCCATGCTTTGGCATCCACTTTCCGCTTCACTAACAATCCAGTGTCTCCACAAGTCGGCAAGATCAGATCCAAGATTTCCACTTGTATGACGTAGCTGAGCGTCATCCTGGCATTCCACTACCGCTTGCCGAAAGAAGCTAGCGCGAAAAAAAGGAAACCACCACGCAGTTATGAAACCACACTGCCTGCGACGACGACGACGACGAGATGATTGCTCGCAATTTTCCAACATCGTATTTCGTCCTGAAAATTCATTCATTGACCCATGCTATTGAACCCCATCAGATTCCGTCCCGAGTCTAACAAACATCAAGGTGATCATTTTGCATCCTGGTCTAGGTCTAGGCATCCAGACCAAGGTCAGATGTCAAACCAAGTTCAGCTCCAAGGCCCACCCTCTTCTGGCGTCCGGGTTAACGCATACCTCGTTACCAGACTATTGGAAGGCGCGTTCGGAGAGCTTGCATTCCGATAGGTGTAAGAAGTCTTCAGTTCAAATTCAAATCGATGCTTCATTCAAACCTCTTGGTATTGCATGAGTCGCGTGGTTCAAGACTGAATCGCCCAACTGCCCTTGCCAGCCGAGCCTCCCTGCCTGGTCAGCCTTGGAGCGGCATTCAGTTCCCTCTCCGATTTCATATTTGTCATCCGGACGTAGCCCCTATCGGCCACGCTGGGCTCTTGAAGCATACATAGACTAGTACATACCGCAAAGATTCGGGGCGTTGATTTTTAGGTTCCAAGGTCTAACTGGCAGAATCTATGTGTTACATGCCTTAGGGTTTGGGTTTTGGTAGAGAATTCGAGCATATGCAATACTAGAGGTGCCTCAAGTGTACAGATTATGCCTGATTTCCTGGGAACCTAAAAATCAACGCCCCGAATCTTTGCGGTACCTACACATCCAGTATCGTGGGGATAATCTCCACGTTCCCTACAACTAATCGACACTGCGCATGGATCGACATGCATCATGTCAGATCCTCAAACATGCACGGTATTGACAGACTGATAGCGGCATCAACGAGAGGTAGCCGGTGCTCTTTTGGATTTGAATCACATCTACGGCACGCACAATACCCCAATGTTCGTCATTCATGCCGATGATCTTGAAGGAAATCCTTCTGATCCTACCTGAGACGGCTTGTTTTATAGGGGCGCATTTGTCACACGGGTTACCTACAATACCGCAGATCGTGTTCCGTTCTTGTCTTCAACGGTCGGTTGGCATGCGGCTCTAGACGTGGTAGGTATAAGGTACTCTTGCCCCCCGCGGCGCGCGCGCGCGTCATTCCATCGGTTCCATTGAAAGGACTTCGACCACGCACGCCGAGCTCTTGGGAACCACCTCGACAACTGCTTCAATTGGTCAAGGGTTTTGGCTGGCTTCTCGTTACGCAGAACGCCCCTGACGTCATAAGGGGGCTTTTTGTACGAGGTGAGTTGGTGTTGTGGTATCCTGACGAGTATTGGCGAGTATGGAACGAACCAAATCATGTGCCCCTATGTCCGTCTTTCAAAGGTCTACAATAGGGCGACCGAGGCTGTGAGACTATGTCGTTGCAGTCTGTTCCAGAGAGTGCACCTATGCTCCTGCTACGCGGACCTGCGAACACAACCACCTCTGACTAAGTCATATAGGTTGTTCATCGGGTTGACACGTGACATGCTGGCTTGAGGGTCGGCTCGGATGAAGAATCATCCCACTGTTACCAAAGCATATCCGTATACAAAAGTACTCTTCCCGGTGTTCTGATGTCCAAGTTTAGTCCTGTCCAAACTCAGCTTCAAACCTTGGGGATTTCCTAACGTCTGGGCTATGTCCGCACTAGACTTACTCGAATAAGGCCTGGCATATAAATGGACGGTGATATCCTGGAGCAGAACGTCTTGCTGACGGCATGAGCATCTTAGAGCACAAATGTAACGGATTTCGACCCAATGCATTATTCATGAACAAATGATTATGGAATTCGGTTGTTCGTTTCTTGCATTGTCGTGCTCACCTTGAGCTAGCCATGTCGAGATAGAAAATGCTAATAGATGTCGATAGAGTGGCTTCTGTGGTTTGTTCGCGTTAGTGTTCCACCAAATCAACAACAATCCGATTGTCAAACAGAGAGGCTGGTTGTGAAGCCTTCTTGTGCAGGATGAGACAATACATCATGTCCTTCCATCGCTATTGCATGAAGGAAACATCACCACTTTACAGTTTGATAGATCCAAACGCTTGAAAACCAAAAGTCGACGAACAAACTGGGGCAAGAATACCAAAACAAACAGAGGGCCAGCCAGGAAAACTTGCCTTTTCGTCTTCTTCCTATGCCCAATGTCAGCCTTTTATCACCTCGTGTTTGCTTTCCCCGGCTGATGAGACAAATCGTTAGATAACTGAAAACCTCGGCCGGCATTCGTTCCTTCCATTTCGAATGCAAACGGTGTGTTCATTACCGTTAAGTATGTGAAAATTACTATCCTCTACCCAACCCACTCCTTCCTTCCACGGCCGCAGTGTCAATGAAATTTAAGTACCTTTCCCACTTTTATAGCTTCTCTATTTCAGGCTGCCGTCGTCGGCGTTGACACTTTTACCCTGTTGAAGTTCATGGCCGCTTGTCGGATATTAGTACATCCGTTACTTGCCCGACAATCTTGAGTTGAAGCATTTCTGCTTCCTCGTTCCCCTCCACTCCTCTTTCCTCCAATCTTACATTTGGCGTCCATCTTGTTTTAAGTCCACTGGTATTTGGGCATTGTCTGCCACGATTACTTAATCATCTTCAACATTGGACGGGTGTCTCGTCTCGATCTCCATTTCCTCATCCTCTCAGCGGCGCCCGCTTTGGTCTGGCCTGATGCGATCACTTACGCATCACGCACTCAACATGGCCAACCGCGACGAGTGGATTCAACTGAGCGCTACGGTACTAAACTCACATCCTTTCATTGTCAACCGTATTGCTGACACAGGTCTCCACAGAGAGACGAGATCGTCCGTAGCAATATTTTCGTCAAGCTTGAAGATGGAGACGGATGGAAGTCGAAACCCGAAATTCCCACGGCCAAGGAAATCCTCCTGCTCCAGAAAGAGGCCGAAGGTCTGCCTGAAAATGATGTAAGGCAGCCCTGGAAATCCAAAGAGGACTACTTGAAGGCTCAGTACGAGATCCTTCGTCGCGAGGGCACTGAAGGTTTGCGATTCGCAGTCAATAACTACATCTACAACAACAACCACGGACTGCGCCAGGATGACGATCAGCACATGTTCGTTTATACCCAGGTTCGCATCAAGTCGTACATTATGACAACACTAGGACCTCTTGCGCGTGTTGAGTTCATGCCGCAGCGAGCCATCAAATGGCTGAAGTCCGGTCGCCTAAAACCCGGCAGTCTTCTTGCCCTCACCACCAAAGCCGACAAGTTCAAGACCATCTGCAAGGTCGCCGTGGTTGCCCAAAGGCCGTACTTACTTGGACTTGATCAAACCCCTCCACTCGTCGATCTCATGTGGGGCAACCCAGAAGATGCCGTCTTCGATTGTGATCTTGAACTTGTTATGATTGAGGCCCAACACGGCTATTTTGAATCCTCGCGTCATTCATTGGTCGGCCTGCAACTGGCTGCGCAGGCAGAGTATGTATCGCAATCGAAATCAAAGCTTGAATGTATCATGTAGGCTAATCATGTTTAACTTAGTACTCCTATCGACAAGTACATCACCGGCAGTCACAGGAAAAATGAGACACCACGCTTCATATACCAAAGCCCTATTATGGACTTCTCTTCTGTTGTGCGCCAACCCCTTGCGGACCTTGAGAAGCTCAAATCCCTGCGCGAGTTCAATGTACTCTCTGGACTCCTCCTAAAAGATGTGGAAAGTATCAGCTTTCTCGACGCCTCGCAACTATCCGCTCTTCATCGAATGGTCTCCAAGGAGCTTGCCATTATCCAAGGCCCTCCAGGAACGGGGAAAACTTTTACCTCGGTGGAGGCAATCAAAGTCATGCTTGCGAGTCGCCGGAAGCGTCCAGGACACAACCCGCCCCTCATTGTCGCTGCGCAGACAAATCATGCCTTGGATCAGCTGCTTGGCCATTGTCTTGAGGCGAACGCAAAGATTCTGCGTCTTGGCTCAAGAAGTGAGAGAGAAGACATGAGGCCTTACAGCTTGTATGAGATGCGCCGCAAATGCTCCCGTGGTGGGGGTGGAAAGCGGTTCAGGGAACTGGAGGATGACCGTCATACCAACATCGACAGAGTAGAGGCGCTGGTTAACAGTGTTTTTGGGGACAGTCTCATCGACCCACGCCAGCTTCATGCACATGGCATCATTACCGAAGCGCAGCTGGAGTCTTTGTACGATGATGAAATGGAGACAAGCCCGGAGTTGGAGAAGCTTGGTCCCTTTTCCTTATGGTTGGGAGACTCACGAATTCCGGCTCGGATCGTTCGCGACAGGCAACCTCTCATATCCGAAACATTGGAAGCTGACGAGGACTTCGATTATGAGCGCGACGTAGAGAACATCGCGTACGATGAAGAAGACGCAGACAGGATAAACGGCAAGGAAATCAAATTGATGCATATATGGACCGGAAAGTAAGTTTAACGATTACCCGATGTTTTTATGGTCCAGTCGTATCTACGTTGAAGAAAACTGACCGTGTATCGTGGATCAGAGAGCCTGGACACTTCAAAAGCTGGAATCATCGTGCACAACGCTTGCTCAGAGAGAATGATAACCTCTTTGATATACCCCAAGACTGGAGGGGTGCAGTTTACCAGCATCTCCAGTCCAAACTGGTGCAAGCAACCACTCCGACGCTGGCTGGGCTGCTGGCCAAATACGTTGAGATATGCAAGCAGCGCAGAGCACTCAAAGCCCGGCAAGATATTGACATGGCCTTCTCACAAGATATTGCGGTCATCGGCTGCACAACAACCGGCCTTACGAAATACCGCGCGTTTCTGGCGGGGCTACAGCCCAATACCCTGCTTATCGAAGAAGCTGCCGAAACAAGGGAAGGAAACATTACCTCGGCCCTGTACCCTTCCCTTCAGCAGCTCATTCTGGTTGGTGACCATGCACAGATGTCGCCTAGATGCGACATTCGATGGCTCGGTCAACATCCGTACAACTTGAACGTCTCTCTGTTTGAAAGGCTCATTAACCTTAAAATGAATCACATCATGCTCAATCAACAGCGCCGCATGAGGCCGGAGCTGAGACGCATAGTCTCTCCATTCTATAATAACCTACTCGACCACCCCAGTGTCCAATCTCCGCAAGCACGTCCGGATGTCCCTGGGATGGGTGGGCGCAATTGCTGGTTTTTCGATCACGAATGGATTGAGCGAACGAATTCTGACAACAGCAAACTCAACGACCAAGAGGCTGAGATGATCACCCTTTTCTTTGTGTATCTTGTGTCTAATGGTGTGTCTAGTGAAAAGATAACCATTTTGACATACTATAGGGGCCAACGAAGTCTACTCTTGAGAAGACTAAAAGGGCATCCATCGCTCACTGGCTGTTACTTCAACGTCTTTACAGTGGACTCGTACCAGGGTGAAGAAAATGATGTTGTTCTCTTGTCCCTGGTGCGTAGCCCTGACCCAGTCTATGGGCGCAACATTGGCTTTCTTGACAACCCACACCGAGCTGTGGTTGCTATCAGTCGCGCTCGGCAAGGGTTCTACATATTCGGCAACGTCAATAACTTACTCGAGGCTAAAACCGAATCATCGTTTCTATGGGGTCTCATTTTCAATAGATTCGCCGATCAGGGCATGGTCAACCGAGAGCTTGGGCTTCCTCTGGTCTGTCAGAATCATGGAAATGAAATCTGGATCAAGGAGCTAGAGGACTGGGCTGACAATACTGGTGGCTGTCACGAAAGGTGTCGAGAGACTAGGCCTTGCGGCCATCCTTGCACTCTGAGATGTCATGCTACCGCGCATGAAAATCTTCCCTGCAGCAGCCCATGTTTCCAGATCGTTCCTGAATGTGGGCATCCTTGCCACGGCCTTTGCGGTGAAAGATGTTTCCACGACTGTGAGCGCTTCAGGCAAGCAAAAGCGTCGGTCAAGCAAGCGCAGAGGCAAGGTACAGACTCACCAAAGGGCAAGACCATCGAATCTCTTTTACTCCAGCATGGCGCTCACGACTTTGGGCATGAGGAGCCAGTCAAGCGCAAAAGTATTGTATCGACGGGAAGTCCTGGTCGTGGGCTTTATAGTCATTTCGGGGAGCTGCCATTGCGTCCTATTGGTGACAATTGGAAGAATGCCGAAGCCGTGATCCAGCAACAGGACAGAAAGCTTGACGAAGAACTTGCAGAGAGGAACGAGAAGTGGCTCAGCCAGACTCATCATGTGCAAGATCAATGGATGCCAACAGGCGTCACGGCTTCCGGGACTCGTATTCGTGCTGGTCCAATAATCACTCAAACCCTCCAGCTTCTAAGCGACTTGCCGGCCATGACCACCACAGCCGCTGTGACGGCTGGTTCTGGGAGCCATTTGCGTACTGGCTCTGGTGCTGGTCCAATCTTTGCGCCCACACTGAATCAGTTCCCCAACATCGCCCCTATCGCTCAGCCTGAGCTTCTAATTCAACTAGAGCAAGACGACTATGCCGTCTCTGCGACTAATATGAAACAGACAATAGGAGATTTGGAGAATGATGGAGAAGAGGACTGGTTGATTGACTTTGAGGAACCCGAATAGGGAGTCGCTACTCCTGAGGCTCAAGGGGAATGCGTGTGTTTAAGCGATATTGGCCTCTCCCCGGCTTCTGACCACACCATCGCAATGTTCAGAGAACATTATGACGATAACCTAGACCGTCAATCTTACAAAGGCAAGGGCATCCGTTTTAAGGTGGTTGGGATCTCTTTTATGTCTGGATCACCGACGATGTCTCTGTCAGCTGGAGGTGAGCAGGGAAAGAGGACAAGAGAAAAGGAAGTGGACATTCAATGGCGGCAAAGGAGATGCACGGCAACGCAACTGCACGCGGAGACGACGGCGGGGGGCCCAGGCAGAGTTCTCTTTTCTTCTTAACGGTCTATCACCCTGAAAACAGTCTGTCTGGAGATAGGTTTCAATGGCCGGAAGAGCCCGACACTTCTGTTGTGTCCGGTGCGCTCTCGACGTCCCTGGAAAATCCGCGGGAGGAAACCAATTATTTAGATTCTAGGTAAAGGAGCCAGCAGCTGCTCATTTTCTTGCTTGGTGGTGACTGGACCCGTATACAATATCAGATGGACCCAAGGTCCAAAAGCGAAGCCCCCGCCGTTAAGCAACCTCCCAATCACTCGCTTTACTTAACATGGGTCAAGCGCCTAATTATCTTCGCCGCTTCCATCTCAGCCCTTCTTCTCACCCCTCACAGCCCAGATCGATATACCTCCCAGCCCTGTCTACCCTGGCCGACGAATTTCAACGTCACCACAACTAAGGCAAGCCTAACGGTGACAGCATATATGATCTTTCAAGGCATTGTTCCCCTGTTGCTTGATGAGATGATGTGGCTCTCATGGCCATAGTCGAGGAGGTAGAATGAGGAGGTAGAGCGAGGACAAATATCAAAAAGGGTCTATGTAGTTCAGGAGTGATGTAATATGATAGTATCATAGTTTATTGCTTCGTTGCTTGATTTTCATATAAACTTCACTTAGTATTAACCGTCTATATCGCACCCCAACGGCAATGAATGGACTTAAGCTAATGTGAAGCCTACGATAGGCACATACGATTATAAATAGTAGAAAACTCGGAATCTCGTCCGCTCTCCTATAGATAAATTACCTCCCACCGGCCCTGGTTCCTGTACGTCGACGCCAGGTTGGCCATGCTGCTCAGCGTGTCGGGATGATCGGCCCCGAGCTTCGCCTTGCGAGTCTCCATCACTTGTACAAACAGCTTCTCGGCCACATTCCATAGTCCTCTGTCTCGTCCGCGGTGATGAGACAGTAGTCCCTTAGCATCGCCACATCATCTTCGAAGCTTACATCGCCGTCCTGGGCGATTTTCGCATGGTTTAGTACTGGAGATCTGATAAGCGATAAGCGATAAGAGGTGACCATGAGATAAGCGGCATGCTTCTTTTCTTTCCTATAATTACTAGCCCCGTTTGTTTCTACCTCGCCTTCTTTTGGAAGAGGATACATGATTTAGATACGGAGGTTGTCCCGAGTATATTGCGTCTAGAGCGCGATAAATTACCTACGACAGCTGACTACGCAGGTCCTATTTGTATAGACGCGGGAACGGCCAGGGTGGTGATATAGCGGTGGACTTTCAGTCTGGATGGATACGTTCACCCTCTTGATGAATTGCTCATGGTTCAGATTCGTCATCTGGCTAACAGGTCTGCTCCCTAAAAGACAACAACTCTCAAGGGCCGGCAAGCTCTGGCGGGTAATCAGGGGGGCCAGTCAGATACTCCTTCAGTGCCTTGATGGATGGCGTGAAGAAGTATTCACCACCTCGTGGGATCACCCAGCGGTCGAGTCCAATACGCGCCTCAGTAGGATGCTTACCATCAGGCAGACCGATAGAGCGCTCCGGGTGGTGTGCAAGTCTCTGGCCCACAATGGCATCGATACCGGGACCGTGCTCGCCAACAAAGTTCGCCTTGCGGTCCGGGAAGTGGTGGTTGCTAGCCCAGCGGGTGGTCAAGAAGTTGAATCCGTTGCGGATGTCACTTTGGTAGCACACGAACATCAAGCCGCGCTCTTTCGCGTCATCAGACTTCTGTGCGGTCTTTTCTTCAGGCGTCACTTCGTCTCCGTAGGAGATGCCACGACGGATGATAACCGCGTGATCGTGGTTCAGGTCGCCGCGGGGCCGCATCTTGCGGATGTGAGCTGCAAAGGGGCATCTTTCGTGCTTGTCGACAGGGTGGAAGTCAAAGTTGTTGGATCGGAAAAGGTTTGGGTCTTTGTCGTGGTGAGGGTTCTCGTCGACGGGGGTTCCTATTGTGAATGTTCATGAGCAAAATGAGCTTGGGACTTGATAGATGGACACGTACCGTTCCTCCATCTGCCCATCAGATACGCTGCAAGCTTTTCCTTCGGATCATCGGAGTCCGCGGCGAACGGCGCATTGTGTTTGTTGTCTTCGAGCCACCTGAAGTTGTGTTTAATCAGTACTGACTGACTCTACTCCCGACGCGTAGAAAACTTACTTCTCAAACTCAGGGACGAGCTGTTGAAGGTCACGGATCACGAGGAAACTGCCGTCCTCGGCCCATTCCGGCTGGTTCATATCGTCGCCTTCGTGTCTGGCGAAGATCAATCTGCAATCCGAATACCCTTTGTCAGTTCCGATATTCAATACCGAAAAGCTCCGGAACACCTTACCCTGGCTTGACAGCCTTTGGCTCTTTGCCCTTGGGCGCCACTTCATCCAATCCCTCAATCAAGGGCTGGCTAATGCCGTCCTCGAAGCCGAAGCTGAAAAACTCGGTCAGTCCGTGCTCATCATCATAGGTAATTGTACAAAGCAGACTCACTGTTCCTTGCCCTTTTCAGGGCGAGTTTTACCATGGTTGGTGAACGGGAAGTCAAGGCAGGGGTCATTGCTCAACCGAACAGTATCAGGATCATCACTGCCCGGCTCCTTTTGGAAGTGTTCCTTGACGCGAAGGACTTTGTATCTCAGGTCTTCCGCACGACTCGCCGTAACCATCAGCACGCCATCAATCAGCCGCTTTCCCGCAGACGGCTTGAACTGTGATCGAAGCTCTTTCGGCTCGTCCCAGCCCTCACCCACCAGGTCGTCATACATGCCCTTCCCGAACAAGCCACCACGGAGCTGGTTCTTCTTGAAGATCTTGGATAGATTTCTGTCCTTCTTGACGGCGGCCTCGTTGAAGGTGAATTTTCCCAGCTAATGTGATCAGTTAGCGAGTCTCTCTAGCACGGCGCCTTGGCTAGGTATGACTTACAGCTGCTAGACCAGTCGAGGCAAAGGCAATGTTAACGCCTGGCAAGGGCAGAATCTTGGCCGGGACACCATGCTTCTGAGCTTGTGTCTTTGCCTCCAAGATCTGGTTCTTCATGTCACAAGCCTCCTGGGCGGTGGTGATATGTTCATCCACGAAAGATCGGAGTCGCGTCTTGAATTCATCTGGCTTCCTGATCTTGAAGAATAGGAAGGTCTGGAACCTTTTTGGCAGGCCGGGCCTAATGGGAAGAAGAATCAGCAAACCATGACATCTCAAAAGAATGTGCAGTCTAGCGAGACTTACCAGACATCACCCTGAATATTGGCTTTCCTCGCAACCCAACTCATGGTGACTGTGAACAATGATGATTGAGGTCAACAAACCGAGCTCGAACTGCCCGGGAGGCGCACAATATTAATAAGTGTTTAGAGTACGCTACACAACAGTCCAAGAAACAAGCTCCTCGTATCGGCTTCTGGGGTCGCCAACCCCGAATTCCACAAAGTCTATCACCTCGCGCACCGAACAAGGACCGACTATTCGACATGAGCTCCCCTCAACCCGCAGCACATACTTCATACTCGGTAATTCAGTTGAGATAATTCGTCGATCGGACCTCCAAAGTCCGCAAGAGTTGATCGGTTCTACCTGCCGCCCCGCAAGTCGCTACGCATAGGCAGATCTTCGTCGTACCTCGTCATCTCGGATATCAACTAACCATTGATCCAAAGCATCGGCTACCTCTACGTATGGATCTTCTGGCCAGAGCTGAAAGTGAAACTCACTACTAATTCAAAGAACATCATCCCTTTAACGGTGAAAATTGACCATTTTGTGCCAAGACTTTGGCGACTTGCAGTACTTAGCGACTTTGTTGATGCGGCCAAGCAGCGCTAGCCAGCAAGTTCTGGAAGAATATTGGTTGATTTGACCCCTGATCTCTCCACTTTAGGTCGCATTTTTCCTGCAGTGACAAAAGTGCTGCAAATGTTGGGAAAATCGAGGTAGCTGCATGGGTACAGCTGTAGCTGTGGATAAAATACGGCCAACCGATTGGCCACTTTTGGTCTTGGCACAAAATGGTCAATTTTCACCGTTAAAGGGATAGGGCGGTTCAGTTCCGGACCTTGCAGAAGTCGATCTTGACTGGGCATAGGTGCTTCTGCAGTAAGCAAACCTTTCAAGGCACCAACCAGCTCTCTGTCGATCGTGTCAAGATGGATCCTCTTGTACCCACGAGAGGTTCATCGGGATTACCATCTTCGTCAAGGTATGCATATCTGGTGGATTTCTTATGCAACCCCCCCGCGTTGTCTGGGGAACGACAAGAGGATTTTCGATAACTTCGAGATCCACCTTTTTTTGCACAGAAATGGATCTGGGATCTACACCCGGCATCCACTGTCACTGGCCGGATAACGATAGACGTCGACGATCCCCCTACCCAAAAAGAAAGCACTGGGGCTCGTGAACTATAGACCCAGGTACATAATCGATAGCTCACATCTAGAGGTAACTAGCCATGTGCAGTCGAACACATCTTGGAGCACAATACAAAAGAGGCCCACCTCAAGTAAGGACGTGGACGTCTTTGCACCCAGCAACATGAACTCAGCTCAACTCCTTGCGCATATCAGAGACGCCGATCGCGCGATTTCAAGGAACCTTCACCTTCACCCGCATATGCACCTCCACGTCAAGACAAGCGCGCCGTGATGGTAGCCCACGGTTCAGCTGAACTGAGGGGTCCAGGGGTCCAAAGGTGGACTTTATG